CACATGGAACCCTACAATCAAGAAGAAAATTTTAGATGTTCGGCCAGTTCAAATTTAACAAACAAGGAAGAAACCCAATATATAGCTTCCCGGTGCTTACCAAGTTCAACATCCCTATCTTTTCCATATTCAACAATATAGCCATGGTGAGAATCTAAAGAGGATCCACAAAATTCCGGATACAGAGCTGACACATGATTGAAGCCAAGCCCATCAGCAAATATATAACAACAAAAAGAAGCTCGCAATGATGAACAAAATCTGCAAATCACAATTAGAATCTTAACCTTGAGATATAGGACTTAAAAAGTCCTCAACCAATTGCTGGAGCATGCTATCAAAACCAAAATCATCAAGGACAACACCAAACTTGTTCATCGTATTTGGCCTCATTATTGTGGATCTTGAATCATAAACCCATTTCTCCATATGCTCAACCTGAGAAATTAGTCAATAAATGTAATAAAAAGACAAAGAACGACTTAGCTATGACCAAACATAAAAACGATAGCTTTTATAAGTCATTTCATACCTCAGCTAGTAACATTTCACAAAACTGTGGCTTAAACATTTCAAAAGTGAAAATCCCAGGAGAGGTTTCGACCATCATGTTCCTAAAACTCTGCTCCGACTTCTGAGTAAAAGCTCTAAGAAACGAAGGCACAAAGAAACTTGTAGGATCAAGAGAATAGATCTCTCCATGCAGACGCTGCAAAATCAGATGAACAACAAGCAAAAAAGGTTGAAGTAACCAATCCAAGATTAAGTCTTGTTAACCCAAATCGATAAAGAAAACTACCTGGTAAGAAGACAAGATATTCGCCCTGTATTCGTTATGCCTCATAATCTGAAAATGAGATACAAATTCAAGCTCAAATCACAGAAATGGAAGCTCAAAACTATAAAAAAAATCAGTAAAAGGAGGAAACTTTTACCCGAACTCGCTCAGGGTCAGGGGTGTATCGGAGAAGAAGGTCTTTCATAAAACTAGCTTTATCGATTCGTGTGGAATTGAGAAGCTGCTCGGGCAAGTAACGCTCAAGCGAGCTGAACAGAGACGGGCTAAAGTCCAAAGGTAGATCCTCATAGTTCTCAGGCTCATGCTCTTCTTTAGGGGTTCTCCGAAGTTTCAATCTTTCCTCGCCGTTTCCAGAGGAGTCTCGCGGTGGCTGCTGCTGCTGCTGCTCAGATTGTTTTCCGGAAGAATCGAGAGCCATAGATCTAAGATGAGTTTGATTGCACATTCAGGTCAAGAAAGCGATACGCATTCTAGGGTTTGATGAGTGAAAGAAAGAAGATGATGATGGTTTGTTTGAGAGGTTAGGGTTTCGCTTTTTTTATTTTTATAGAGAAACTGAGAAACCTCCTCACTAAAATAAAAACGTGGGACATTGCTGATATTGTTTCTTTGTTTGCTCCTACCATTTTTAGAAACGTTGATTTATATTTTGTTGTTGGTTCAGTGAAATTAAATCGCTGATGATACTAATAAATCTGTGTAATGTTGTTTGGTGGAAACTTTAGGTTACATTACATTTTACATCCATATAAATAAAAACAGTGACGCATGAATGATTTTGTACAAAATGATGATTCAGTGGAAACGAAATGTGACAGAGGCCAATGCTTACAAAAGAGAGAGAGAGAGAGAGAGAGAGAGAGAGAGAGAGAGAGAGAGAGAGAGAGAGAGAGAGAGAGAGAGAGAGAGAGAGAGAGAGAGAGAGAGAAGTAGTGTTTTTTTTTCTTTTTTTGCCTAAAACATGCTTAGAGTGTAGAGAGAAACAGAGCTTTGTACTTTTTGGCTGTTCTTCCCAAAAATGAAATTCTATGTTTTTCTGACATTTCCTTCTCTATTCCCAAAAATTGGTCCAAAGAATTAAACAATTACACAGGAAATCTTCCTTCACTGACTGTGAACTTCCTTTGCGATACACCATTATGTGTCACACTCTTTATTTCTATTCTCTTTGCCTTTGCTGTGTAAAAAATAAGTTAAAGCTTATAAAGCAAAGAGCTTTCAACAACATTGGATCTATTCTGGCCAGAGCTCAGAGTATGTTTCCCCTGCAGAAGTATAGCTTCGCATTATAATCTACAATCACAGACAGGGCAGAAGAGTTGTGAAAGCTGAGAGAGAAGAGTTTGTTGTAACATACCAATCAATCTGAGCGATCAACTAGGTTGTGCATAGTAATTGTAAAATTGATCATATGCACACTCAAGGGACAAACCGGCCAGCTCCAAGCAAAAATATGATCAATTCGACGACACACACCATTGCTTCCTCGTCAACTGAGTAATAACTTTTCAAGGAACTCAACCTCTCGTGCCGCATGGTCTTTTTCCAAATGCTTGAACAATGCATTGTGTGTGTAAGCATCTGGCTCAATCTCTTTATCTAGCATCTCTTTATACAATTTGACAACCTCTTCCCATTTCTCGAGCTCACTGTACTTGCTTATAAGCATTGTGTAGCTATATTTATTCGGTGAAATCCCCTCTTCTTCCATCTTGCACAAGTGTCTGTAAGCTTCATCTATATCACCTGCTTTGCACAACCCATTTAAAAGAGCATTGAATGTCATGACATTTGGATGAACGCCTGTCTTTTTCATCTCGGTGGAATATTGAAAGGCTTGTTCTAGCCTTCCTGCTTTCGCATGACCATGAATCAACACAAAGTAGGTAATCACAGTGGGAGATAACCTTTTACTCAGCATTTCATCATACAAGTCTCTAGCCATCTTAAACCCGCCCTTCTCCAAGTAAGCGCGAATAACCGTGGTGTAAGTAACATGATCTGGGACAAGACCAACTCTAAACACCTTACGCTGATATTCAATCGCTTTTTCCAGATTCCCAACCTTGCAGAGTCCGTCTATACGAACATTATAGATGATCAGATCTGGAGCATGATGATCCTTGGCCACCATCTCTTCGTGCAGACGAAACACTTTGTCTGAATCTCCAAGCCGCAGTTCACCCACAGTCCTTGTAATGTATGCATATCTATCAGGTTTAATTCCTTCCCTCAGCATCTCATCATAAATTTCGATTGCCATGGAAAGATTCCCATTCTTAACAAATCCTTTTACAAGAGTCGTGTAGGTAATCACATCAGGAAATATCAGTTGGCTGGTCATCTCTTCTTTTAACCGGCAAGCACCTTCCAAGTTCCCTGACTCACAAAGACCATCTATTAGAGTATTGTAGGTAACAACACAGCGACGGATATCTCCAACACTTAAGTCATCAAACAAAAGAGATGCCTCTACCATCTTTCCCATCTTGATGTACCCATGCATCAGAGTGTTATAAGACACAACATCAGGAGCTGCCATACTAGATAACAGCTGTCTGGCATCATCAATTCTTCCAAACTCGCAAAGAGCACGTATATAAATATTATATGTGGGTGTGGTTGGATAAATACCCACATTGATCATTTCATCCGTAACTCTCCAAGCTTCATCAAACAAGCCTTGTTTGCAGTACCCTTCAATCAAGGGATTAAAAGAATATAAAGTAACAGGGAACCCAGATCTTTGCATATCTCCATGAAACCGCCGAGCTTCCTCCATTTTACCATTCTTGGAAAATCCATTGATCAGTATATTATAAGTCACCTCACTAAATTCAATGTTTCTTCTCTTCATCTCTAACCAAATCTTGTCGACTTGATCCAAATGACCAGCCTTGAAACACGAATCCAACATAGTGTTAAACGTGATAACGGTTGGCAAAATACCATGCTCAACCATCATCCCATAGACCTCTCGAGGCTTATTCATCATCCTCGAATCCCTAAGAACCTTCAAAACACTGTTACAATTCCTAACACTAGGTAAGAACCCTTTCCTAATCATCTTCTCAAAACTCAAAAAACACTTCTCCGCCATATATTTCCTAGTGTAAACCCACAACAACAGATCCAAAAGCTTGATAACAATCAACTTATCAAAACTCCCATCAATCAAAAGATCATCCATTTCGTGCATACCAAGATCGATACTCCTCTCAGCAACAGAATAAGCTTCACCCATCAAACCATTCTCAGCTAAAATCTCAAGCATCGCAGCGAAAGCTTGCAGAGACTGCTTCACATCGCTCTGCCTCTGTATCCAATTGAAAAACCGAAACGCGATTCCCGGCTTTTCCCGAATCATATTGAGGACTCTAACAAGCAAATCTGGATCAGTCAAGAGGAGACGAAACTGATGAGAGGACCACTTCCGATTACGTTTGTTTTCCCCGTGGGAGCTCAAAATGAGATTGGCGTAATAAGACTCGAGATTGGAAGAGGAGGGGGAGGAGGAAGAAGACGAAGCAGCGCAATGAGGAAGAGTAGAGAATCGAAAGAGGAAGCGTGAGACGTTATTGCTGTTGTTGGTAGTAGAAATAGAGAAGAAAGATCTCGAAGCTCTGAGACAGAGACGGAGACATAGGATCATTGAGGATACAGAGAGGAACACATAGGAACCAAAATGGATCAAGAGTATCGATGATTTCAAAAATCCGAGAGAAGGAAGGAGGAGCGGCCATTAATTCTCCACGAAGCCTTGTGGTGCCATCTCTCCTCCCGTGCGTCGGCGATCAACATCTCTCCCGGAGCTTCACAAATAAGGGTTTATCCCAATGTTCTCCAAACCAAACCGGTTCTACCGTGATTCAATCTCCTTCCGGTTTGCTTTGTATCTCTATCTTTAACCGTATAAATCCGCGGTTAAAACCGTTAAATTCGGTTCTGTGCTTTCCTTTCCTCTCTGAAGTCAAAGGTTCTGACCGGTTGGTTGAACCACGACCAGAATTGTAACCAGTTTGCCTTTTGGTTTTGTTTTTTTTTTCTTTTGGTCAAACTTTGGATTTGGTTTCTTAAAGACATTCTCATGTGATATTTACCTACTTGTTCTTATCAAACTACATAAGGAAAAGTCGTAGAAGTTAGCTAATAGCTAACATTCTCACATGATCATGTTTAAAGATTCGAAATCTATTCTCAGTATCTAATTTCCAAAATGAAATTCCAAGTTGGGAAGATACCTAAACAAAATCTAAGCTCCATATCTATAAATTGAGGAAACGTATTCAAAAACACATTGAACAATACATATTACATGAATGTTAACAGAAGCCACACTTTCCAACAGAAGCTAGCTACTGAAACAAAAAACAAACTCGATTGCAGAAATCCAAACTTTCTAATTGCCAAGAGTAACATTCTGCATTTCAACAACTAGCTCTGCTTCGGATCTGTTGCCCAATTCAGTTTCCATATGTTTCAACAAGTTTCGCAGCTTTCCGCAAGCACCCGAAAATCCATCTGTGGAACTCTTCAAACCCTTAACTTCAGCCTCAACTTCGTCAAGGTTTCCCTGTATTATCTTCACAGTTTGCTTCATTTTTTCAGTCTCCTGAGGTGGATAGACACAAGCTCCAAGCTCATCGATTTGTACTCCGGTTCCTCGACACAGCTTCAGTAGCTTCTCAAGCGACTCCACAAACCCGCTATTATCCTTCGGATTCTCCAGCTTAATCATGCCACTGATAACTCGAATGAGTTCTTTAATCACCGAGATCGTCTCAGACACAATCTCAGCAACAATTGTAGCAACTTCCATTTCTTCAGGAGACAAATTATCGCCTAAATCTTCATCATCATCATCACCTGACATATTATCACCAGATGCCTCACATTCAGATGAAGGACAAGCTGGCTTCACTTCTTTCATCTCCCTAAGAACATCCTTCATAGACACCGCAACTTGTGTAATAGCCCTACCAATAGCAGTAATGTTTGTTGCAGGAACCTTCTTGAAACTGGAGCATGCCTCCCACACCACTCCCGAAAGCTGAGGAATAGAAGGCTTCTTATCCTTTTCATATGATCCCTCTAGTTCCCAGATACATAAAACAAATCCTCCAAAATTAAGCACTCACTAGAATTATGTAGAAAGGAAATCAAACTGTAACTACACACACTGCACTTTGACATAAGGAGTTCGATAGATGATACATAATGTGAGAAAAGTATAAAAATTTTCCATTATTACCGTATAAGCAGACAGAACCCTGCAACAATCTGAAGCTGGAATCGACGATTTGCTTAACAGAAACATGTATGATTGAAGACAAAGTAGTACCAGCACCAACTGTGCTTCCATGGCAACAAAGCAAAAACCCTTGAAGAGCATTGAAGTAAGACTCCATTGTCTCTGTAAGTGATTCAGCTTTTGGAGATTCTCCAGTCCATAGCATTCCCACTAACATTACCCACAAGCAAACACAAATTGAGAAGAAGAAATCACAAAAAGGATTCAAGAAGCTATAACAGCGAAGCCAAGTCTTTAAAACCTATGGTGGCTTGTTTAGAGAGGTGATCAGACATCTGAAGAACATCATTCCAATTAAATTTATCCGCTGTAGGAGACGCTGTTCCATCGAACAACTGCAAAAAAAATTGTAGCATAATCTTATGTCTGAATACGAATCTTATTAATTGTGTGAACTTGTATGAAACGAACACAAATCAATCAGATGAAAAATTACCTGGAGAGTATCATAGATGGTGTTGAGATGAGAAATCAGAAACTGATTTAGATCTTCTTTCTTTGATTTCACCATTTTTTTTTGGTCTTACAAACTCTTTGATGTCTCTGTGCTGAGTGCTAAAGCTAAAGCCTAAAGGGTTTTGCCGATGCTAAGCTTTTGACTACGGTCGTAACGATGTCGTTTTAGAGTCTTCTTATTTACAGAAAAGCCCTTTGAAATTTATAAGTATTGACTATTAGCTATCAAGTATCAACCGATCCTAACATTGCATAGAAGGATTTGAATGCTTTGGCTTTCTCTATAGTTGTTTTTATATGGTTTGGTTCAAAAGAAGTAACGATTTCTACTTTGATATTATAAATACTGTTTAGTTTGTTACTGATGGAGTGATGGTTTTGTTAGCTAGCTTTTGTGATCATGTACGGTTTCTTAACAAGGTTTTACAAAGCTAGCTAGTGAAGTACAGCTGAAAAAGTAAACCACATGTTTTTAGAATCTTTAAAGAAGCTGAGTCAGGTTTAACACAGAGACGCTCATGTACATAAAGTGTCGAAGAAAGATCAGAGACTGTTAACTTGTGAAAAGGTGAAGCAGTCTTTAACCAATAAGAGACAACATGTTTCTCCTGTAAATGCAGTAATCCGAACAATGAACAAACAGAGATATAGCAGTGCAATGTAGAGAAAATATTTGTACTACGAAAGGATCAACCTATGGTTGTGCTTGTTTAGAGAGGTGATCACACATCTATAATCAACGATTTGCTTAAGAGAACCGTGTATGATTGAGGACAGAGTAGGCCCATTAAGAATTTTGTGTGTTTTAAGTTAAAAAAATTCCCAAGTAAACCGATCCAACCCAAACATCGCTTATTAACGAATTTTACTAATAGAAGAAAGAAGTCAGTATTATAGAACCAGATTGTAAAAAAGGAGAGATCTTTTAATTTTATTCGTAGTGTTATGAGTAAAGAATGGTTTCGTTCAGAAATATGTGATGATTTATTATACATGACCTGAAGAAAAAACTAATGTTTTTGACGGTCTTGTGGTGGAACCAGTCAGCAGCTTTATTGTTATGTTCTTGAACAAACTAACTAACTATACGGTTTGATCAAGGTTTTGACAAAACTGGTCCTACTACACTGAGGTCCGGACTCAAAAGTGAAACCAGATTCCTTCACAACCTTTTAAAGAAATCAGTCCCTGGCCTACTCGAGATAGAAGTCGGTCGGCCGGTTGGTACAACATCTCTAGCTGACAGCCAATTCCATGCCTTAAACACATATGATTTCTTTTTCAGTTCGTGAAAGTGACAAACAAGACTAAGCAGAGAGTCAAGGTTTGTTTAACACATGGAATCATCACAGATTATGAACTTGGACGAGGTTGGAAGCAGCATCTACAGAGGCATCATCAGCATAAGCACAAGCGCTCTAGAGATGAACCAAGAGACAAAAATAGCAGTAATTTAAGTAAGAACTAAGCAAATTCTTAGAACAATTGTCTCAAATTGAAGCAAAAGTTAAAGAGAGTCAGAGACCAAATCAACCAGATCACAATATACAATTCTCAAAAAAAAAACAAAAGAACAAGAATCTGGAATGAAAAGTTAGAGCTTTTAGAATCCCAAACATGTACAAGATGAAGTTGGAAGTTAAAAAAAAAAAGATAGAAAGATGATCAATTTACAAAGTTAAACCACAGAAGACTCAGGTGTCTTGTCAGAGGAGCCAGCATCGGAATCTTTCTCCACCGCCGGGGAATCTTCATCAACATCAGGACGGCCAAAATTAGTAGGCGCATCAGGTCCAAGAAGCTGAATCGCAGCGTTATCATAAGCAAGAGCAGCTTCCTCAGCTGTTTCAAAAGTCCCTAGCCAAATACGTTCAGGTCTTCCTCCTTTACGATTCCCACCACCACCACCGCCGCCGTCGTGAGCTCTTCTACCACACCTGATCTCAGCCGCCCACTTCCCCCACGGTCTCTGCCTCACGCCACGGAACTTCTTCTTATTCTCAATCGTCTTCTTCGCGGCGAGAAACATCGCCGGAATCCTGATTTTAAAACGAGTTTTTTTCCCGGCATCGGCGGAATCGGGAGGATCGAGGACGATCTCCCTGACTAGCTTCTTACCACGACGCTTAGACGGAGGAGGAGGCGATGATTCGTCTTCGCTGCTTGAAGAATCGGTAGCTTCAAGGTCAGTGAATGAAATCCTAACGATTCGTTTCATGTTCGCCGGTGAAATCGGTGACGACGGAGCAAGGTTGTTGTAGGGGTGTTTAGGGTTTGTGTTCCGACTCCCTTAATAGGAAAGAAGAAGGATTTGGCTTGTTCGTTACTTAATCCAAAGTTTTAACCGACCTTTGCCTTTACCTTACTACTACTGTATCATATCTCTTATCTTTTCTAATCCGATGAGCGATGAGTATTTGATCAAATCTCTGTTTAAGTCGGTTTTTGAAATTTTCAAATTTTTGATAGACCAAAAATATTATATGGAAAATATCTGTTTTTGGGGAAAATTAATTTTAAAGTCGTGGGTAAAAATGTAAAATCATAAAAGAATTTTTAATGATTTTTCTACCATTTTGAAAATAATATTTTTGTTAAGAAATCAAATTGATAAAATAAAATAAAAATTAAAGCCGGTTTAGATTTGAAAAAATTTCAGCTGATTTGGTTGCGGCTCAACTAGGCTTTACGAGAAACCCAAACGAAAGCTCCACTAGTCTGGACTACTTCTTTTGGGCCTTCAAAACTTCTTTATAAGGCTTTAGTGATCCCATTACCAAATGTTTTCTAGATTGTAAAATTTTGCTTTCATCAAAAGTAACATACAATGTCATAAGATTGATATTTGGATTAGATGACCATCCATCATTCCATCAATGAAAATATAAATCCACATACATGCTTTTGATTAGAGTGTGCATGATTTTGTTATTATCACTTAGTGTTGAACTTTGTCTACTAGCTATATAACTTTACCAATCCTCACATTTCAGTATATTTGCAATGTATATCTTCTCTAATGAGAGAACAAATTTCAATATGTATGGGCATTTATCAAAGTTTTGGCTGGATCGAGACTCGAGAGCTCTTATGACCATTTTAATGGAGATTCTATCAAAACATATATAGACTTACTTTTTTGTATAATGATGATGATATTGGTATGGTACCCAAATACCCAATAGGCAATATATAGTTGCTTACTTTATTAATTAACCCCAAGTATTTATCAACAAGAAAGAGTAAATTTATAATACCCACGCTGATGGAATTAACTCTAATTAATCAACTAAGAAACGTAAAACACATGCATGCATGAGATCATGTTTATTAAGATGTGTATGACCAAGTTTGAAAATATATATTTCGAAATACGATGTTTTCTCTTCAAGAAGTGATGTTTCATTGTATCTTTCGTATGATTTCAACTATATATGACGCACTTACAACAATATTATCATATTATTAATTGTTACATCATTTTCTTATATTATTAGGATATGACTTGACTTCCTTATATATTATTCGTCACCACAAGTTACTGGGACTAATCATAATTAAAAATTCGTCTCCACAAGTTGCGTTGCACCACGAAGATAAAAACCGAACGGGTAAAAGGGACGTTTACCAAAATATCAACCTAATCTTCCCCCAAATCACCCATTTTTCCAAATAATTAAGCACAATCAACTCTGTTTATTTAAATTATACTCGTGACCGCTGATTGTTTTTTTTGGTGTATATAATTTAGTATACACCACAAAATATAAGAACATGACATAAGATTCTTACAGAATATAACAAAACATTTTTAAAAAATTTGTAGCCAGATGAAAGAAATCTATGAGAGTCGTATGATTTGACACGGCACTTTTGGTAAACGGGTTTATTACTTAATTTTGATTAATTAATCAAAGATGTTTCATCAAAAAACCTTGATGAAACTTTCGAATATATATGTGGACATGCATGGATTATAATATCCTACGACCATGATTAGCCAGTTCTCTATTCAAAATATCAGCTTATAGATTGGATCAAGATTAAGGCCAGCATTTATACATTTGTTTAGAGAAAACTTTTCCAATATTAAAAAGTCTAGGTGGCTACCATATAGTCTATTGTATATAAAAACGTCAATCTCTATCTCTAAGAATTGTCTATACTCTGTAGGATCAATTGGTATCAAAATTTCCATGAAACCCACAATAATTTTGAGAGGAACCATTCTCCAACGTACCTTCTCATTTAATTCTGTTTAATTTTCTTCTTATTTATGTATTTTTCATATTGTTTTTGTTCTTTAACTATTAGACGAAAAAAGTCGAAAGTATTAGAAAATATGGTAACTTTGGTCTATATATATGTACGTGTGGTATGTGCTATACATCAATATTGGTGCTCTTGTTAATTAATTTAAACCTAAGAAGAAAGTTCTATGGATCAACCATGGTCCAGATTCAAAGAATCTAAGAATAATAAGAGAATACTTCTTGTTACAATTAGAAAAGAACCTATACATATTAAAATGCAATAAGATCTTTACATGAATTAGTATGACAAAAGCAATCGCGATAGAATAGGGAAAAAATGTAAAATGCATGCATTAGTTTGCTATACATTTTCTAAATATGTAATTGGATTTTTCAAGTTCGGAAAATGGGCTCCATTTTGTTTACTGTATATGTTAATGTTTCAATTATTTTGTATACGTGTGCGTCGCAACTGCCGCTTGCGTGGTTGTACTCAAAAATAATTATTTTGTATACTATCGATCCTATGACAAATTTTAATCAAAAGTCAAAGCTAAGTATATATAGTAGTAATCCCCTTAATTTGCATAGACCCCATGCATGCTTACACACAGTATTATTGAGTTGTAATCAAGTTTTTCTATAGTAATCTTTAATTATAACACAAATTAACTAACCATTAAGAAAGGAAGAAAATGACAATGATGATACGAAAGAAAACATTAGAAAGGTACGTCCTCGTTGTCCGCCGGGGGATACTTTGGAAGAGCACATCAGTTTATCAATAGGCAACTCTTTAAGTTTAAATAACTATATCGTTACACACCTAATGTTATTTAATTAATCTATTTGAGTTTCCTAATACTCGGGACATTTATATTCACCACCCCCGAACTTTCCTATATAAGACACGACACCCATTATTATGTATCACTAGCTCTCTCTCTCCATCTCTCTTAGTTTGTGACAAGTAAACATGGGAGCTCTTGATTCTCTCTCTGAGTATTTCTCTAACCATTTCGACGTCTCCATAAGAAAACGAAAGAAGCGTAAAGTCATGCAGGTAACTAATAATCCCACAATTAAACGACTTCGTTTAGCTCTTCTTGTTTGTCTCGTTTGCTTATTTAATCCCTTTCCCTTTTGTAAATGTTTTGTTGGTAATGAGCAGACGGTGAATATAAAGGTGAAGATAGACTGTGACGGATGCGAACGCAAAATCAAGAACGCTGTTTCCTCCATGAAAGGTTCGATCCTCACCTCAACTCTCAAGTCTCAAGTAGTTCCCTTCACTCAAACACGAAACTAGCTTCTCGTAGCTCGCAAATACAATAAATATTGTTCTACAAGTAATTTATCACCCACACGAAACTATATACTAAATATAAGAAAACTCTAAACTTTGACTCTTTACCTTCATAATAACCATGATTATGTAATATAACACGTCATATTTTTATTTTTTTAACACAATTCCCTTCGATAGAAATCAGCCAAACACGGCCTTACTAATATACACACCACTCGTTTTTTTTTCCTTAGGAGCAAAATCAGTGGAAGTGAACAGAAAGATACACAAAGTGACGGTGAGTGGTTACGTGGATCCAAAGAAAGTGCTGAAGAGAGTGCAGAGCACCGGGAAGAAGAAAGCTGAGTTGTGGCCGTACGTTCCCTACACAATGGTGGCTTATCCGTACGCAGCCGGAGCTTACGACAAGAAGGCACCGCCAGGTTTCGTGAGGAAGTCGGAGCAGGCTCAGGCTCAGCCGGGAGGTACAGACGATAAGCTCATGTCCCTTTTCAGCGACGAGAACCCTAATGCTTGCACCGTCATGTGAATAAGTATATATATAGATAGCACTATAGCAGCCGATCTTCTATAAATAATTAGTAATGTATAACGTTGTATAAAGTTTAGAGTGGAACCTTTTTTTGTTACTGTTTAAGTCAGAATCAAAGCAACATGTAGTAATTAATTACTCTGCGTTTAGCGAGTTGTGGTCTTTTATCTCGTAATAATATAATTTTGGGTGTTTAATTTTGGATAAACCAAGCTCATGTGGATTAGAGTTAGAAGGGGGAAAAAAACATAACTGGTTTACAGAATTAGTTAAAATGGTTTTGTTTTTCCAATCTCATCAGTCAAAAATTTAATCGAAAAATGAAAGATAATAATAGTTTATACATTGAATCGGTACCGACCTAGTTTACACATCTATTTGGTTGTATTTGGAATACTAAAACCTAAAGCAAAAAAAGACCACCAATATTATACACAAAAACTGTGAAATGTTCAATTCCTTCGGTTGAGATGTCGTTTACGGTGACATTCTTCTTTAAACATTCCGTGATTAAAGGATTAGCATGGCGGTGAAGTATTAAACTAAATTTGGTTCTTTCCATAAATATCATACATTAAATATAGAATAGTGTATCCAATTCATATCCTATATCGAATAAAACAAGTATTAACCAAACAACCATCTCAAACCAATATTTTTGTTTGTATTCATTCACTCGACACAAGTAAAAGAGTTTTGTGGAGGCAGTGGTTGGTTAATTAAAAAGTTGAAAAGATTCTATGACGCTGGAGAAATCCTTGGCAAGTGAAAAGCCAAACATCAAACAATTATTATCCCATCTCTGCCCTTTCTGTTGCACACCTACGACAAGTGTATGATCCGACGGTAAACATTTTTATTAGCATGGGTCCGATTGTGTAACTCTACGTAATTAATGGTATTGTTCCTCGGTGGAAGTAGATATGTCGACGATGATGTCTCTGGATAAGATAAGATATTTTTATTAGTCAATAGTCAATACATATGTGATGAAAAGTAATTTAAATATGCAATTGCTCATATCTTTCTTATGTCCTCAAATTTTCCAAAACATTGTATTAAATTTTTGGAGCATAGTCATAGTTTGCCGACCATCAACAAAAGGACAAGTTTTCTTTTGTTGATAAAATGTCTTAATTGTGTTCCTTGTAATAATATAATAACGTGGTTGTTTAAGGAAAGACTTAAGAAAAATGGTACCTCGAACATTCAGTTTAAACTAATAAAAGACTTCCTATAGTTGAAAATTAATGATAGTTATCTCTCAAAATCAAATTCGATGTTGCATGAGCTTTATCAAACTAGAGATAACAGCAACAAGAGAAAAGAAAAAAAAAATCATTTGATGTTTGACCAGAAAATATAAAACGACATACATCATTTGATAATACGCTCAGAGGACATGTAAGTACATTGTCGGGTAATGACATGACTAATTATTTATTACGACCCCAATAAAATAAAGAGAAACATATTCTAAAAGTCTAATATGGCATGTGAAACTTTGAAAAGACACAAAACTAATGGACATATGAGGAGTAACATAGCAAACGCGTGGCGTCAAGACTTGGTAACTAGGAGTCAACGTTCCGATGATGCAGTGAGGCCCAGGGTTTGGGAGCTTCTGTTATATCGTTACGTGTACGGTGTTCGGGGGCATGAACGGTTTATATCACTCAGACCTAAAACACTAATCACGGCCGGATAGAGGATAATATTTGAAATGTGCAGTTTACATCAACCATAATGTAATGTTGTCTATGTATCTAACAGATCATGTGATCAATACGAGTTTTGGTAACTAGATTTATCGGGAAAGGAACGTGTATTGGACTATTATTGATTTTTGCAACTCCCAAATGCAAACTGCATCAAGAGTGTATATGATTCGTTGGTGTTGCTCAAAGAACAGAAAATTCATTATGTGGATCAAAATTAGGCAACAAGCTAAGTATTGTGATGTTCTCTTAACCACTCGTTTTAACTTTTAAGTGATCATAATAATATAGCACTACAAAACTTGAGATTAGTATGAGTTATAATTCAAGATTCCACTCTGGTTACAGAAACTTAAACATACTCAAAATAACAATATATAATGTAATCACATCCTATTTGATTAGCACATGCACAGTGTGTGTAAAAGTTGTTTAGAAGTTTAAGGACCAAACATATTGAACAGATAAATCATTCACTCACCAGTAGATACAGGATGGGCTTTGTTCTTTCGACCCATAGTAGTAGACTGATCCAACAGGCTTAAATTTAAGACAACACAAATGAACATAACCTAAATATATGTCGCCAAGTCGTCTAACAATGCATGCACATTTTTTTATTCAAAAAGACAAGTGTAGTCGTCTTAGAGAAAAAACAGAAAATAAAAAGTTGCATGCGGATAAATTTATGAGTCATATAAAAAAGTGTTGATTAGGTTATGGTAACAACTAACAATAAAGAATGAAATATAGATTGCAGCGCTAAAACTTTTGTTTATCATATTAGTATAAACTTTACGATTTTAATATATTTGTTAGATTTTGTTTTCCCTTGTATTGTTTAAAATACTGTTTATACATTTGTTCTTTTTGAGAGATTAATAATTTTCAACTTTATATGCTTATGATATTTCATTGGCATATATAGATAGTATGTTACTATTAACAAAGGAAGAACAAAAAGAGAGAAAAAGGTTGGGGAAAGAGAGGGAGAAGCTCGAGAAGAGTGTGGGAGAAGGCAAACCCAAAACACTGACTAGACACAGACCGTTGGGCCCGACTCTTCATGCATGCACTCTTCTGACATTTTCAATTTCTCTAGATATCTCCATCCTACCCATTTTTCTGTTTTTTTTGAATTTCATTTGCTACTATATTATACTTTAGGAGTACTATTCTATTCTTGTTGGAAGAAGGTACTTCTAAAATAAAATACAAAAAAAAAGTATACTATATGCCTTAAAATAATGATAACCCACAATTCAAAATGCTTGTTCGTATGCAATTTAAACTCTAAAAATGTTCAGAATTTAATGTGGAGGAAGTGGTCAGGTCGCTGTTTCTTTTAAGTGTCAGTGGTCACACTGTTCTCACTCACTCACTCAACATCGTTTCAAATTTCAGAGCAATAAAAAAAAAAGTCTCTTAACCCAAAGCCCCCCTCCACTCAATTGCCTTACTTCAAAAACCGAGCTTCTTCTCTTGAAACGCTTAAAAAGTTAAATCAGAAAACCCAAACGCTTTTTTACTCATCTTTCTTCTTCTTTCTGCATAAGCCATGACTAAAGATGAAGACTTCAAGCTCCTAAAGATCCAGGTAAAGTCGTAAACACTTTCCCCACTTTTTTCTTTCTCTCTCTTTTTTAGTGTTGCATTGGTCTCTCCATCGTGTTCATGGTTTTGTGATAACACAGACGTTTTCCCTAAGAGTCAACATTCATTGCGAGGGTTGTAACCAGAAAGTCAAGAAACTTCTACAGAGAATCGAAGGTTTCTCTTCTCCTTTCTCTCTCTCTCTCTCAACCTTTAGTTTACAACATGCAACATTTATACTTTACTCATTTTGGCTTCTTGATGAGTTCATTGTCTGGTTTTTACTTGAACAGGAGTTTGCCACGTGAAGATAGAAGCAGAACATCAAAAGGTGACTGTTTCAGGGTCAGTTGACTCAGCCACACTCATCAACAAGCTCGTTAAAGCCGGCAAACACGCCGAGCTCTGGTCTCCTAACCCTAACCAGAACCAACCTCAAAAGCCCAAGACTAATGACGTCATCAAGAACACCACTCAAAAGGGTCAGAAACAAGGCTCAGCCAAAAGTGGTCTTGAATCTTTCAAGCCCAAGAACGGCCCTAAAGGTGCAGCCTTTGCCACGGAGGAAGAAGAAGACGGTGGCGAGGAAGAAGACGGAGAGGTCCAGCTTCCAAAACATGCGATTCAGCAGCAACAACCCGTCGTCAACTCCAAGAAAAACAATGGCGGAGCTGGGGTGAACAATGGTAACAACGGAGTCAACGCCCCATCGAAGAAAGTCAACCAAAAGCAGAGCAATCAAAACAACCAGAGTACTCAACAAGTAATGGCGGCAATGAGAATGAGAAACGCCGGAAAAATGAACACCGGTGTCGAAACCAACGAGATTGGCGCCCTCATGGGTCTAGCTGGATTCAACGGTGCAACAAACGCCATGACTCATCCCACAAATGGGACTCAACAGCAGCTTCAAGCTCCAGCGTTAAACAACATAAACGGTGTCACCAATCACAACCTAAACAATGGTAACGGAGGCATGATGATGAACATGAATGGGTACAATAATCAATATCCAATGAACATGCAGAGTAGGCAAATGATGCATCATCATCCTCAGCCTCAGCAAATGATGTACCAAAGATCAGCTTTCGTTCCAGCATCAAGCAATGGGTATTACTACAATTATACCCCTCCCTACAGTTATTATCCTTATTACCCTTACCAAGCTGAGCAGCAACAGCAGCAAAGTATTCACCCATCTCCAAGTAGTGATGAAGACACTAGCAATAACAATAGCTGCAACATCATGTAAAGTGTGGTTGCTTGCTATGGAAGGTTTCTTTCTGCCTATGGAGACAAGACTTTTTCATGTTAATGTCTAATGTGATAATATTAATTAGTGTCTCTCTTTTTCGACTAGGTACTTTTTTTTTGTGTGGCATGTAGCTGTTTTGGACTGACATGAAGTTGTGTTGGTTGATATATAAATCCTAGAATGTTTATTTCATGTTCCTTGTGAGATGCTTTGCTTTATCTAACACTAGTGGTTGGTGCGGTGCAAAAAAACATTTGTAGAAGAGCGTTTAGAGCGGTTGGTTTTGTCACAACGTGGTTTGTGAGTATCTCTCGAAAAGATATTCTCTCTATCTACTCAAAAGTTATTCCACCTGCTCGCTGCCTCTCTCGGTAGGTGTCTCGTTATATGCGTCACCTATATCTTATTTAATGTGACATAGTTCGAGTTTTTTAAAAAAAATTGGACTAGTGAAAGTAATAGTGTCTTTTAGCCGGTCATGCATCAATCAGTTCTTTGTTTAATACTTACAAGATTCGTGTGGTGTGGAAGGAAATTGAAAAATCAAAAACATTCTCATCTGATTTGAACCATGTCTTGGGCCACATGAAATTTTCAAATAATTGGTTCGGCCCAACTCGGTTTTTCACAAAGAAGCCCTGTATCTTGATAGAAAACATACCCACACAAGATTCCCCCTACCAGGTGACAAAAACATGCAAACGAAAAAGGCAAAACGTTTTGGCTGTTTATAAACGATTTTTAAATCGTATCCTAAGTTTGATGTTTTGAACATTGGTTTCGAATGCTTTATATGATCTGCATTCTGCATTCGCTATTAAACTGCAAGAGAATTCTCTGAGGTGCTCAGTGTTTGAATATGGTTTAGTTATGACTCTCATTTCTCAACATAATCGTTTGTCCAAATTTATTTTTATTTTTATTTTGTTGGTCCAAATGTATACAAATGAAGCAATCTTATTTATCAATTTTGATTTTACTTGTACCTGAAAAATACATTTATACAGTCAATATATGAAAATCCTCTCTACCACAAATTAGTAGCAAAGCAGGACACTTTATTATAGCCTTATAGGTAACTAAATAAAATTTGGTACGATAACTTTACTTTGATGTTCGGCTCATATATACTATTCTAATCTTATACATATAATAATGTGGGTTGTGGATAATAATGGACACATACGTAAGAAGGGTCGAGGTTAGGACAGTGGACCTATCTCTCAAATTCTTTTCACACTTAAAGAGTCCTTACTTTTTGCGACACGAGCCGTGGGACACTGGGATGTTTGCCTTAGTTTTATGTCTTTATGGGTTTCAAAACTAGTTCGAGACTTGCTTGTGTGTTAGCTTCTCCTGATTAAGTGGTCGTAAACAAAAGTTGAACTTCTCGAATATACAGTTATTTTCCGGTTCTCTAAGGTATAAATTAGGTGCTCTAGACTAGAGCTTTCGTATCACACACTCTAATCAAGCATTTTTAACTTTAAAGAAATAACTTAACGTAGCCTATACGAAATTTGCTTATGTTATCGGAGTTATTTATTATCGCCTTTATCTTTGTATTTTTTTCCTTGATGTGTTTCGTGTTCGCATTATGCTTTTCTACGTGTGCCATTATTTAAATTTGTAATTATATATACGTCGCTTACTAGCTTTTTCACCTGTGAAGCCCACACGAACGTATTATTTTAATTTTTTTTTGTATGATTTCTTATAAAGACTCGGAACTGATTTCTAACCAACAAGCAAATTAATAAGGAGTTTAAGATCTATTCTCAATCACAGAACCATAGGTACACGTACTAATCAACCTACCTACCTATCTCCCTCGAAGACTATGCTAAGCTAAAAGGATGAATCATCCGAGTTATTAGACCAATATTATAGGGGTATCTTAGAAAGGATACCCCAATTTTGCAAAGAAAAGATGTAATATAAGATCTTTCTTTTGTAAAATTGGAGTATCTTAGCTTTCTAAGATACCACCAATAATGGTGCCCTTAGGCTCTCATTTGTCACTAAGCTTTGTTTATTTTTTGTTTTCACACTAGTCATTAAGGGTTGAACATTATACGCAACTTTCATTAAATGTATTACTTCGATAAATCCGGTACTAACTGAAGGGTGTGACAAAATAAATAAAAAACAAATAAGAGTAAAGAGTGAAATCTTATAAAAATAATACAAAGACAAACAAAAAAATCCTAAAATAAACACTTTGAAAAGAAAGGTCACTGAATCATAAAAAAGCATAATGCCATCTGCACATCATGCAACCATTTGAATAAATATAAAAGTTTTACAAAATTAGATTAGGGATAGAATATAAGTGTAAAGATCCTATACTTCGTAGACTTAAGGGTGTGAACCAGACACCACCACGTTCTCACACACACACACACACACACATACTTCTATATATATGATCTAATTTAATGATCAAGAACTTAATTTCTCTCATCCCAAACTAATTATTCACAAACACACTCACACACAGACACAAGTGACTCGAGTTGTCAGAAATGGGATCTCTATCGTGTCAGAGGAAGATGAAGAGAGTGATGATGGTAATAGTAACAGTAACGTGGCTCCGTGGCATGTGCGGGGAGCTGCTCGATGACCAGTTATTCGAAGTGGAAAAGCTTAAGATGTTCGTTGACGACCTCCCTGATATGCCTAGACTCCATGGGTTTAACTCTGTTCATGGCATCCTCAAACCCACTTCTCTTCAAATCGGCATGTTCTCCACTAAATGGGTATTCTTCTTTTGCCCATTTATTTTTTCTTTTCCAAGAATCAGATTCTTTTGGATTGGTGAGAATACTCGTATTTCAACTTGTTTACGTCTGAGTGGTTGGAAAAATAAATGATGAGATACGCTTTGTGTTTTTACTCTCTAGTCTTGACTTCACTTATTTAGTCCTCATGGTAATAATAGACATAAAGCTTCGGCCTATTCCTAGGCCCAATTACATATGTCGCTTTTCATAGTATGTAAAAACAGAGTCCTGTATACAAATGTCACACTTTTCTTAGTATGTAAAAACAGAGTATATGAGTGAGAGTGATGACTTAAATTTATGGATGGGTGACAGAAATTTCATAGAGACTTGCCAGCGACACAAGTGTTCGCATACGGTACATCACGTAGCAAGGCAACAGTTCCTGGTCCGACGATAGAAGCCGTGTATGGAGTAGACACATACGTTACGTGGCGAAACCACCTTCCTTCATCTCACATTCTTCCTTGGGATCCCACAATCTCCCCAGCAACTCCGAAACACGGTGGGATTCCTACGGTGGTTCACTTACACGGAGGAATCCACGAACCAGCCAGTGATGGAAACGCTGATGCATGGTTCACGTCAGGTTTTAGAGAGACAGGACCAAAATGGACCAAAACGACGTTGCATTACGAGAACAAGCAACAACCTGGTAACATGTGGTACCACGACCATGCCATGGGTTTGACCCGGATCAACAACCTCGCCGGTATGGTGGGCGCCTACGTTCTTCGCCACCCCGCCGTAGAATCTCCTCTTCGACTACCCACCGGCGATGAATTTGACCGGCCGTTGATTATTTTCGACCGGAGCTTTCGTAAAGACGGGTCGATTTACATGAACGCAACAGGGAACAACCCTTCTATTCACCCGCAATGGCAACCTGAATACTTCGGCGATATGATCATCGTTAATGGAAAAGCGTGGCCGAGACTAAACGTCCGACGCAGGAAATACAGATTCCGCATCATAAACGCAAGCAACGCAAGATTCTTTAAATTCTTCTTCTCCAACGGTCTAGATTTCATCGTCGTGGGTTCTGACTCTGCGTATCTCTCAAAACCAGTGGTGACTAAATGGATCCTCTTATCTCCTTCAGAAATAGCAGACGTCATCGTTGATTTCTCGAAGTCGCCGTCGAGAACAGTGGTGCTAGCTAATGACGCGCCGTATCCTTACCCTAACGGCGATCCTGTCAACAAGGAGAATAGCAAGGTAATGAAATTTATAGTCAAAACTGAACCCGAGGATGACACATGTACAGTCCCCAAGAAGCTCATCGAGTACCCGCATGTAGATGTATCAAACGCGGTTCTCACACGTTACATATCTATGTACGAGTACGTGAGCAACTCTGATGAGCCAACTCATTTGTTCGTCAACGGCTTGCCCTATGACGCTCCCGTCACGGAAACTCCAAAAATAGGAACCACCGAGGTAGGTAGTACATTGTTAATTAACGGTCTGAAATATGAAACTGATTACAAAAATTTTAATAAACAAAAACTGTGGAACTACTAATCAGGTGTGGGAAGTGATAAATTTGACCGAGGATAACCATCCGTTACATATTCATCTCGGACTATTCAAAGTGGTTGAGCAAACGGAGTTACTGGCGGCAGGGTTGGATGAGTTCAAGGAGTGTATGACGAAACACAACGATGCAGTCAAGTGTCAGATTAGTAAATACGCACGAGGGAAGAAGACGGCGGTGACAGCACACGAGAGAGGTTGGAAGAACGTGTTCAAGATGATGCCAGGACATGTTACGAGAATACTCGTACGTTTTTCTTATATCCACACTAACGCATCTTACCCATTCGATGCGACCCAGGAACCTGGCTACGTCTACCATTGTCACGTAAGTAGGATTTTTCATAATATTTTGAAATAGGTAATTGTTATTATAAAGTCTTTTTTTAATGAACGTTCATATTATCCATTGCAGATATTGGACCATGAGGACAATATGATGATGAGGCCGCTTAAGGTCGTTAATTGATATGTGCAATATAACTCTTCAAAAGCTAAAAATCAATCGAATGCATCATTCATTGAGAATGTAATATAATCTACACTTTATTAATCCCTAGTAAAATTAGTACTGCAGGCTATGTTGAAAAGAACCATTCTTTCCTGAATTTGTTCTACTAAACAGAGTTACACAATAAAAATGGAATATGATTACTCCAAATTCATTTTCTTCTACACCAATCAAAAATCACCAGCTGAAACTGATAGATTCAAATTGAAGATTCTCAGCGGAACCAAACGAACAAATATTTGCAACCTCTTCTTTCATCTTCCTTGGACCACACACAAGAACTCCGACGCTCGAACCTTTTAAACCACCTATGAGCTCTGCTTTCACACAATGAACAGAATGAGAATTTGGCAAAAAGCATTATACTCTACAGTCTAATATATGTAGGAAATGGTTTATATAATCTTCATTAATTAGACTTACTTTTAAGATTAGGCCTTTCTCCATAATGAATGTTGGTGAATCCAGATAGCAGCTGATCTGGCGAGCTCTCAATCATCAACGGAGACAATACATCCACGCTTTCATCTTTTTCCTTGTAATATTTCTTTTTGTTACACAATATAGCGACAGTAGACGAAGCCACCACGCTAATGGAGATTGCTAGAAGGTAAATGAGAGATTTATATGCGGAAGTGTACTTTTCTGAGCTTTGATCAATTGGGTTAATGTGATATTTTGTGATCATTGCGATGATGGTAATAAATATCATGAATGAAGAAGAGAGGATGGTGGCTAGCCATAGCCAAGAGTTGGGTCCGAGGATAGGTGAGATGGGTTGGTCTGAGACATATGGTTTAAAATCTAGGGTTTTGATGATATTCACATTGCAAGTTGATTCTTTCTCTCGGGTGACGAAGGCTTTGATCTGGATATCTACAAAGGAAGGGATCTCGGCTGAGGTTGGTAAGATTAGGTTGAGCATGGATAGGTCGGAAGAGGTCTTGAATGCGCAGATTAATGTCATCTTTGGGATTTTACAAGTGTTCGTTGAGCTTATGTAGAGTATATCGCGGATTATGGAGATGAACGGTGTAATCCCACTACCTCCACTCACCATCACCAGAGATTCATGCCTACGTATAATAAAAACAGAGCATCAATGTTACTTGTGTTGCAAGGGAAAGAATGTAGAACTTCTCTGTTTGGGATTTAAGTTAATTACCGTAAGTAATCAGTGGAAGCAGGGCCGTAGGGTCCCTCGACGGAAACAGCAAGGCGGTCGATCTGATTAGAAGAAGAAAGCATATGGTAAAGCTTAGTGGACCATTTGCCTTGGCTCTTGATCATAACACTTAGCTTCTTAGGTTCGAGTTTGCTACTTGAAGTTATGGTAAAAGGATGCCACTGCAGCTTCGAAATACTTGGAATGTTCACGAACAATGTACTCGTCGGGCTATATATCAGCACTGTAATAACATATTTAGTATATGGTTCTTGAATAAATAATCAATTGAAGAAGACAAAACAGAGGGATCATTAGTAAAACTCACTAGGGTTTTTGGAGAAATTAAGCTCGACGGTTTCACAAGGAAGAACACGAGCAGAGACTAGCTTGACATTGTTGCGCGACTGGAGAAATCTCAAGAAACGATCGATGATAAAGATGTAGAAACCGGGAAATGAGATCAACGCGTAAGAGATGCCAACGTGGAAGACAAAGAAGAGCATGAAGACCATGTAGAGGTGATGAGTATAGAAGAAGACTTCGAAAAATCTCCTTCTAATCTTTGGAAATGTGGTGCTCCACATCACAAGTCCGGCCACCAGAGCTATCTCTCCGGCTAAATGCGAGATACCGGTCCTATCCCACTCTAACATCTATTCACACCAACAAGTAGGACTTAGCACTGAGCATTATAATCAAAAGCAAATTGTAATTTTAATCAAACCGGTTGATTATGTTCTAGTTCTAGCAAACAAGCTAAAATCACAGTCCATTTTTCAAAGTAAGATAACAAAAGTAGCTTCAGTTAATCAAATATTCGTTATATCAACTACATGTGTATATATTAACACTTAGACTAACCTGAAAGACTTGATTTGTGGATATCCAGTAGATACAATAACAAAGACCGTGGCTGGTCAATAAGGTCATGACCAAGTTACCGAGCCATATATGGTACTTGATGCTTGACTCCGACGTAAGTCCAATAGCAGCCAGCAATGATGAGCCACGCGCCACCGGATAGAACAAGAACCCCAAGCATATGTTCCCTGTTAGACCTAACCTTACTGCTATTGAATCCAGCCTGGCTTGCCATCTTTTGAGTTTTGCAATACATAAAACAAACACAATAGTCAACCATTTATTAAATTGTTATAGATTTATATATGATATGAAAGTATGAATGATTCAGAGAAATTACAGGTCAGTCAATTTCATTATTCTTAATTTATGTGAGTTTCCTATTGAAATTTGACTAACTCAAATATAGTTCCATTCAATAAAAAACTTACAAGTTATCTCCGTCGATTGGAACTGATTGAGGAGTGATGGTGGTAAAGGTACGGTAAAAGTAATTGGCTAAGCTCCAAAGAAGAAGAGCCAAGAACATCATCAAGAACATAACCTCAGTCACTGTCACTATTCCTAATCCCTTCACCAACATTGGTCTTTTCAATGCACCATACTTTTCTCTCTTCTTCTTTCTCTCCACTTCACTTTTAATTACCAGAAAAAAGAATACTATAAGATCATGATATAAATAGAGGTTAATAAGATAAGATAATAACCAGTTGGTAGTTTAACTGTTTAATTAAATTACCTATTAAATTGGTTAACAGTCGTTTGTTTCTTCAAATGAAGGTGAATAGATCCAAGAAAAGCCAATAGAATCATTGGAAACATGTAAATCAAAAGGTTTACTCCTAATGAAAGAAAAAACCCAGTATAAAATATTAATGATGTTTGTATCTATGACGACTTATAAAAGAAGTTTGATAAATGTGAATTTAATTACCTGGTCTCCCAAAATAAACCGAGTTGCCGAGCTTGGCACGCATGGATTTCAACCATACTTTCTTGTAAGTAGAAGTTGGCATCATGATCCAAATCACCAAAGTACCAATCAAAATCACCATCGTTAAGAGCTTAATCACATTCTTAATCATTTCCTTTTTCGTTTCTCCTAATAATACCATATTACAACAGATATGAAATTACACTTTTATCAAGAAAAAAAAGAGAGAGATATGAGATTGCAAGAAAAAACAGGAAAGAACAAAACAAAGCGATAACGTACTTTTCAATGGATATTTATGAGATTGTTTAGATTTTCTGACTGGAGATGGAAAGCTACAGCGACCACGCGCCATCATGAGTGAACCACGCGCCACCATGAGACAACCACGTTGAATATCAAGAACGGCTCGTGGTTCCCCGCTCCGTCGTTCCTTCGTCACGTCATCTACCTTACTACCTATTCGTCTCGTCTCTCCTCTCCTCTCTCTCCTCTCTCTCTCTCTACGTCTCGTCTCTCCTCTCTCTCTACATCTTTCCTTGAAACGATTTTTGACTTTCTCATACCACGTCATCCGAGAAAATAGACCAATCAGAACATCAGAAAGCACCACGTCACATAAAAGTTTACATAAGAGAATGTGACGTGGCATTGTAAGTCATAAAGGTAACGTTTTAGCGAAGCATGCGACAAGTTTCATGCGGCTTTATGCACTAAACCAAGGGCAACATTAATTAGGCATTGGCGTAGACCTAATTAAATTACCTACCACCAAAATTAAAATCTAAAGTTTGGAATATTTGTAGAAATATGTTTTTTTTTTTGGGTTAAGTTCAATAACTCGTCTCAATGTTAAGACTTAATAGTTAGTTGTCGAGATGAGATTTGAGAGTATGACTAAACACAACAACGTCGTCAAGTGCAATGATGACGGGACATGTTAGGAGAATACTCCTCAACTTTACTTATATTAACACTAATGCATCTTACCCATTTGACACGACCCAGCCAGGAGCCTGGCTACATCTACCATTGTCATGTATGCTAATGCATAGGACTTTAACATATTCTGAAACTGATAATAACAAACTAATATTTTGCGTTGCAGATATTGGACCATGATGAGAAGTTGAGAACAGTGTGATGATGATGCCGCTTAATGTCATCAAGTGATATGTCAAGATCTAAAATGCCTCTCCGCATGTTTTTTTCGATGGTGCAAGATAACTCTCTTAAAAAAAGATAAACTAATTAATCAAGATATTATAAAGAGAAATTCATTGAGAATATAATGTACAATCTTTACATTTATTAATAATTTGTAACAATTTCAAAATTTATACTAAAGGAAACATTTTTCGGAACTTGTTAAAATTTTGCCTAGTTAGTTAATACTAGTATTAAGTTGTAACGGAGTATGAATTTATAAAAATTATGTTTTGAAGTAAAAAAATACATCAAAAAAAGAAAAGAAAATGTGGCATATTATTGCAGGCGCAGGTGGTGGTCGTGAGGGGAGTTTTTACTTCATTCGAATCACGTGGAAAAGCAAACCATGCTCTGATGCACGCTCTTTGAGTTTGTTAAGTTCCAATAGAAATATCAGTTTAAAGAACAACAAACATATCACTTAGTTGAAGCACACAATTTCGTACTACAATTTGGTGTATACACGAGTTAAGAAAGCATAATCAACTAGAAATCAACATCCTCTTTTTATTGCACAAAATAATTCTACGTGTCTTCTAAAAAAACACGAACTCAAATATCATTGATTAGACAAGATATGGTTGAAGTACTAATTGTCAAGTAGGGTCTAAATATGGCAACTTGTGGATCGGAGAGCTTCATTGGCTGGCTTTAGGTTATCTATGTGTCTGGATCATAGATATTTTTCATTTCATTAAATGTTTCTTGTTGTCATTTGTCAGTTGTTCACTACTCTCTTTTGATTTCTTTTTATAGTTTTATCAAGGTACGGGTTTATATTATTGCTTTTATAACACGGTACAGTACTACGGCCTAAAATTGATGTCCTTGTTTCACGCCCGCGTTGTCACGGAATATGGAATTTGAGGTAATTCTAGAAAACCAATACAGTTGGAGACCATTCTCTATAACCCATCCCATTCACAATTCAATTGCACTTAAGAGCTAGTAGAACCAGAGTCCCTTTTGGATTTTGATGGTTCCACCAACTTGGCTCTTATAGGCAGACGTAGACAACAGTAACACTAAGGATATAATAGCAACACGTAGCAAGTACATACCTAGCTAGAGTACTATATCTAGTACGACGGTTACTTAAAAAGGTTGGAAAGATCAAGTTAAAATATAAAAGTAAATAACTAACAGAGTTCGTAATCTAGTCATTAGAAGAAATATAAAGTTTTTTTCCTTAAAAAGATTTCAGATAAACATTGCTCTGGCTTCTGAATCGTGATATGTGCAGAACTAAAACTAAAATGTATATACCTGATTCGGTATGTTCCAATGAATTGTTATTGCCGATAATGTCGTAAAACTTAAACGTCAACGATCATTGTTCATATATATATAAATTTCACATAACGCAAAACGCAATGTTTTGGAATAAATGGTTCAAAGTACGTATGAGCATATTAGTTTATTTACAGAGAAACCGTATATAGAAGATTAATATACATACCAAATAAAATGATTGACGAACGATGATAAGTTTGATAATTGCGTCCAGGCCAGAATAAACAGAGAACTAATTGTATAACATTTGTGGTCCGAATAATTTATTAGATTGACCCATTCTGTTTTAATTATTACAACTTTTATATAAAAAAGAGATGATAATACAAAAGGGTCGGCTTTACAACGAAGCAAGCAAAGAAAATGTAATGGTGCTCGATCACTCTTACGTATAATAATTAAAGCGTGTGTCTTCCTGTGTCTGTGTGTGTGGCTCATTTCAATTATAAGTGTTTGGTTGCATTATGAACCATGATATTCCCAATTGCCAACTGTATCCTCCTTCTTGGTGTTTTGTTCTCTTCTTCTTCTTCTCCTTCTGTATCCACCACCACCGTCAATCTCGCTTTGTTTTTTTTTGCCAACTGTATCCTCCTTCTTGGTGTTTTTTTTTTCTTTATTTATTTATCTACTCTTTATTTATTTATCTACTCATTCATTTTATTTCCTTTATTAATAAATAATCGTTTGACTAGCAAAAGCCAACTAAGAAAAACAAATTCTAAAATTAAGTTATTTTATAAGAAGAAAAAAAAAGGGTTTTCTTTTGTCCATTAGAAAAAAATTGTAGAAATATATGACATTATCAGATTGCAAATCAAAATTCTTATAAGATTTAGGAATAAATAATTATGTATGCACTGCAAAATTATATGATAGACGATTTTTTGTTTATTATATCATGTTTATGATAAATAACTTATATTTTTAATTCACTTAACCACACGGAATAAGTATTCTACATTCACTGATCTTAAAATAAATTTATCTGTATAATATGCATTATCTAAATTCAAAATTTTTAATAATCCCCTTAATTACACCAAGAAAAAACCTTTCATTTTGATGTAAAATTAATAAATATATTATTAAGAGTAGTGAAGAAAAAAATGGACCAAGACGTAGGTCCTAGCAAAACGGTGCCGTAACAGTGACCTCTCTTTAGACAAAATGGTCGCGTGGATAAATAAAAGCATATGTCTCAATGCTTCTGAGTGAGTAAAAGGAGCGAATCCCAAAGCTATTTTAAATATTCTTTCTTTTTCCACATTTTATTTTTCCGATCGACGGAGTTTGATCGGCGTAATGGCCGGAGGAATCGTCTCACCCGCCTCTCTGCTCGACCTTATCTCCGACATCGTCGACATTCCACTCAACGCCGGCGTGTTCAAGAAGGATTGCGCGGATCTCACTCGCCGAGTCTCTCTCTTGACGCATTTGGTAGAAGAGATTAGAGACTCAACTCCGATCGATTCCGCCGCTTCCTCGTCGTCGGATAATGATTGGTGGTCTGATCTTGTGGTCGGGGTTCAAGCCGCGAAGCGTCTTCTCTCCACAGCTCGATTCCAAGCTCGCGACTCCTCTGTAAGCATAATCAAATTACACGATTTGCTCTATCTTCGATCCTCGTGAAAGTTTCCAGATTTAATTATAGTTGCTACTAGAATTACTGGTTTAGTTAAATATAGTTAGACCGGTGATTATAGAGTACGGTTATCTCCGGTTTAGCTGAAAGTTTTTGATTTTTGTTTGATTCAAGGATGGTGCTGCCAAGAGAATCTCATTCCAGTTCCAATGCGTTACATGGAAGCTTGAGAAAGCGTTGAGCAATCTTCCGTATGATCTTTTTGATATCTCTGACGAAGTTGGAGAACAGGTTGAACTAGCGAGATCGCAGTTGAGAAGAGCAATGCAGAGATATGGATCGTTGAATTCAAATAATTTCTCCAGTGCTTTATCTGAGCCAATGGATAGAGATGGTTTTAGCAATATTGTAAAGATCAAAGCTGAGGAAAAGCTTGAGAGTGTTTCAGAAACACTTCAATTTGCTGAGGAGGAGGAGAAACAAGATTCGCCGCCTTTAAGGAGAAGCTCGTCCATTTCATTGGCCTATTATCTATCCAAGGATGCTGATACTGATAGATTAGACAAAATGGTTACCAAGAATACTGACGAATCGAAGAAATCTGATAAACTCACGATTCCGGTTGATTTTCTTTGTCCGGTGTCTTTGGAGCTGATGAAGGATCCTGTTATTGTGGCCACAGGACAGGTCTGGTTTTTAAAGATGTATAGCCACATTTTATGAATTTAACTGTCTGTTGCTTGCTTGGTTTATTGATATTGTCTCTATACAATGGCAGACTTACGAGAGGGCTTACATACAGAGATGGATCGACTGTGGGAATCTAACATGTCCAAAAACTCAACAGAAACTCGAAAACTTTACCCTTACGCCAAACTATGTTCTCAGAAGCCTCATCTCTCGGTGGTGCACTGAACACAACATTGAGCAACCCGCTGGTTACATCAATGGCAGGACAAAAAACCGTGGAGACATGTCAGTGATCCGGGCATTGGTTCAAAGACTCTCAAGCCGATCAACAGAGGATCGAAGGAATGCTGTTTCTGAAATCCGGTCCCTGTCAAAGAGAAGCACGGATAATCGCATTCTGATTGCAGAAGCAGGAGCAATCCCTGTTTTGGTGAACCTTTTAACCTCAGAGGATGTTGCAACTCAGGAAAACGCAATCACATGCGTTCTCAACCTCTCTATATATGAAAACAACAAAGAGCTGATAATGTTTGCTGGTGCAGTCACATCTATCGTTCAAGTCCTTAGAGCCGGAACCATGGAAGCAAGAGAAAACGCAGCCGCAACACTCTTTAGCCTTTCATTAGCTGATGAGAACAAGATCATTATAGGCGGATCGGGTGCGATACCTGCCTTAGTGGATCTGCTCGAAAACGGGACTCCAAGAGGGAAGAAAGATGCAGCCACGGCTTTGTTCAATCTCTGCATTTATCAGGGAAACAAAGGTCGAGCAGTTAGAGCCGGAATAGTGACTGCATTAGTTAAGATGCTAAGTGACTCGAGCAGCCACAGGATGGTCGATGAAGCTTTGACAATACTCTCGGTCCTTGCAAGTAACCTAGACGCGAAATCCGCGATAGTAAAAGCGAATACTCTACCTGCATTGATAAATATTCTCCAAACGGATCAAACTAGAAACCGAGAGAACGCAGCAGCGATATTGCTTTCGCTGTGTAAGAGAGACACCGAGAAACTGATCACTATCGGTAGACTAGGCGCGGTTGTGCCATTGATGAATCTATCGAACAAGGGGACAGAGAGAGGCAAGAGGAAAGCGATGTCTTTGTTAGAGCTTCTCCGTAAAGCTTGCCAATAATATCTAGTTCATTCGTTATTGAAAACTTGGCTGGCTATTTGTTCAACTATGTTAATATATTGTTCAATTTGATTTGATTCTTTTGTAAAGCAATTATATTTGTAGAAGCAAAAGGGTTTTCGAGAATCGAACTTTTTTTCTTTGGAGTAATCACTACCGTAACAAACAATTTGATTATTTCCCTCTGTGTATTTATTGATAAAACTTTCAAACAACAATGGTATCAGGTAATCAGGTATTAAAATTGTCGCCTGGTAAAATACAATACATCTCCAATAGTTATCACTATTCACTACCGTATCAAAGAATGATTACAAACATAAAGCTAAAAACATAAAGCTACGGTTCAAGACATCGACGGATCAAGAAGGAAAGGAGAAAAAATAGTTACACATAGCTTTCCTGAACCTGTTCTTGTACAGTTTAGGTGAGATTACAGTAGGAGGAACTCTTGGGCCACCAAGTATACCTGAAGCCTTGGCTGCAGACTCAATTTTTCTGGCCAATGAATACTCTCTAAGATAGTCTATGATTCCTATAGAAAGCTCTCTCCTTTCTTCATCCAATCCGACCAAAAGGGAGTAATCCATTACACCAGCTTTCTGCAGACACATCAGAGAATACAGTGTTATTTACAAATGACAAGAAATAACATAGGGGTTTTTAAATACTTACCGACAAGAAGAGAGTGTCATTCCAGATGGCCTGCAACATGAATCTCTTGTAAGTTCTATCAACAAAACACAACTCTTCCTCTAGCAAATTCATGTCAAGTAGAACTTTGTTTGGCCCAGAGGTGTCTGAATTGAAGCGTGCCCGCTCTGATCCCTTTAGATCATACACTTTTGAAATATGTCTATCATAGAAGACATTCTTCATCACCATATAATATCCCTTAGTTTGGTTGTGACCTTTAACAGAGACCTGTGGATAGCAAAGAATCCAATCATAGATGAAGTGTCATAAACTTCAACATTGTAACATAAAAACACATGTGGATAGCAAAGAATCCAATCATAGAGTTAGTATGAAAGAACGAACCTGAAAGATTCCAATAATATTCACCATGCATGTAGGGGTACCAGACTTTAGTGCCTCTATAACGTATTTGAAGTAGTCATCACCAAACTTCTTCTTGAAAAACCGCAGCTCCGACTTGACAACTTCTTTAACTACTAATTTGTCATCTACACTCTTCGCAAAATACGCATTGCTTTTCCCTCCTTGAGCATTCCATTTCTTACAATGCTTCAACGATGTCAAGAAGTCCCCTTCTTTTGTAACAATGTTTCTTAAAGAATAGAACTGCTGTGCAAAATAACATCGAACAACGCGAACAACGCTTTTTGAGTTACTTGCTACTTCAGAAGCGTGGCTGTTGAATAAGATGGTAAAGTGTGAAGAACTTTTATGACTCTTAGATTTTCTACAACTCCAATCTTTATAATCGCTGGATGTGAGAGCCTGCGATATCAAATACCCAGGAGCACTAGTCGAGATTAGATTCTCATTAACCGTAGCCATGGTAGACGCTGCAGGTATACTTAGTGGCAGACGGATGTAGTGTATATCAATAGGACTATGCCTGAAAATCACAACCATGCTCCCAAGCCTGTAAAACATTTAATGAATGCATTCACTTAAAAATTATAGCTTTTCTTAATTCATTTCACTTTTTAAGAGTTGAGATTTTTACCCAAAGAAGTGTAAACAGTCTTTCTGAAGAGAGTGAGTGCATGTTGCAACACGGCTTGCACTGGGGTGATCTGAGAAACTAAACTGTAAGAACTTTCCAAAAGACATTCTCAGGGTATCATCTGACAAATTGATTTTTGGAGTAGCAGGTGGCAGCCCATCCACATAATCACATTTCTGGCATCTGTACCACATCCAGATCTTACCATGCTCTTCACCAGGAAGCTTCTCGGAAGTTAAGAGATTTACATTCATGATAAGCTGTTCACTGTGGTGAGTATAACTAACCACGTGAGACCCCACCCACTTCTTACAAAATCCACATATTGTTGTCTGTTCAGAAATTTAAAACGGAAGAAGTTTTTCACTTTATATTATAGTAAAGATCAATGGAGAAGTGAAGTGTTAATAGAGCTACCTGAGTGAAGATTTCATTCAAAAAAACCCCAAGATGTTTATCAAGCTGCTTCGAGAAATGAATCCGCATGGGACGTGAGCGTTCACATGCTTTCTTTTTCGACATGTGGCGGCTCGAGTAAACAACTATTATGTTCTTCTCAGGGTGTGTAGCTGACGACTGTTCACCATCTCCAGAAACATCTTCAAATAGTTTTTGTGACTCTATAAGTGGCATAATAACATCTTCATTTTGAAGAAAAGAAGCCTCTAACCTCAGATGGTAAGCTTCGAAAACTACATCTTTAATAATTTCCTTGAGTTTCCTTACATCTTCCCCAGAATCAACCTTCAACATAATCTGCAAATAGTTCACAAGCTTAATTAAAACACACAGAGAAAATATGCAAACCAGATTTAAATGTGAGCATGTTATGAGGACACACCGTGCAGAAGAGTGGCCTCAGACAATCTTCAATGTACATCAATGTCTTGGATAATTTTCTCAGTTGACTATTACCTTCTTGCTGTTCCATCAATTTCTCTACTCGGAACAGCTTACACAAACCCACTTGAGCAGTTGAAGGACCATCTCCTAAAAGACAAAACTTGGCACCAGTGCAACGGGCAATATGTTCCAGCAATGGCCTCTTCATATTGAGCACCACAAAGATTTTCTTCTCAAGTAAATAATGCTTGATGTTCGAAGGAACACTTTCTTCGACCAGTATAATATCTGGATTCAGTGACTCTATCTGTGCGTTCAACATTTTCACATGATCGCTTTCCTGTTCAATATACAAAATTAATAAACCACTAATTATATCTAGTATTAAGTAATCTGTACGTCATAATGAACCAACCTCCCAGAGTAAAGTCTTTAGGGAGCTTAATTGGCAAACACTCTGATGTTTAGGATGCTGAGCTACCACTACCAGCATCAACTTTGGAGATTCGTGATTAGGGATTGTTTTATTGCTCATGTTCTTTCTACAGACGATTCCCTTAATGAAGAGGCTGCAGTAACAAAATAACATTAGTAGGTATATCAGCAACAGAACAAATGGCATTTGATAAGTAGTTTTTAGAAGGAACTAGATACCTCTCCTCTAGGTTTCCTGACGAAAGGCATTTTATTTTGACGTACACACTAGGATCCATACTGCCTTGACTAGTATCTGGCTTAAGAAATTTGGCAGCCTGCCATGCGAAACTAGTAACAGTGTCCAGCCACTTCATGTTGCTTCCCTGTAACAACGTCTTTGCAACTACCGCTCGTAATCGGTCCTTTGCTGCAGTTTGAATAGGTGACTCTCTTCTGTGTTCTTGTAAACTTTCTTCCTCGTCTGAACTGTAAATCTTGACTTTGTCCAACACTGGAGGAAGCCAAATGGATTCTATATACTCAACATTGAGTGATTTCTGTGAATTATCCACCTGACTCGGCTCCTGACTCTGAACAACTCCTTGATCTGAATTTATTATAGCAGACTCTAAAATCTCATCCCTGCAATCACAGCACAGACATATAAGACAAAGTTTGGCATGCTTTTCAAAATGTATTCACGATGCAAGAAACATGACATCTCACACTCATGCCTGCAATCACAGCACAGACATAAAAAGCAAAGTACTTGACATCACCATCTTAAATTAGCAGTATAAGAATACTCTTATACTATCATCGCAACAATCATAACAAAGACATTTAAACACATATATCACCATGCTCGATACTGACTCATGATGCAAGAAACGGAATCGAAATGTACCTAGACGCAAGATTGGCACTTGGACCCGAACCAGTTGGGAATGAATCACGCAAGTCGTCGTAGCGCTCCCTCTCTGAATCATCCCGTGTATTAACCGGAACTTCACAAGTATTGCACAGGTTCTTGCGTCCTTCTTGAGGATCAAAGCACGTCCCACAACACCATCGCTTACAGCTCCGGCAACGGTACTCACATCGATATCCCCGTAACTCGTAGTCACAGAAGTGGCACCTTATTGACATTGTATTAGTCTTAACAAACAAACCGTTGCGCACGAATTATCTACTATGAAGCCCGAGTCAAGAAACAAATCCAATGCTTGATCGGAGTAAAAAGAAAGCTTTTTTGTGAAGAAAGCTTTCAACTTTTTCTCGAGCTTTGAAGAGAAAGAACAGAAAGAACAAAACTTTGTGAGTGAAAAGGAAGAAAACAGAATTGTGAAAAAAATGAAGAAACCGAAACAAGAGAGGAGAAGAGAAGTGTTTATATAGAAACAAATTGGGCAAATTTAGAATCAGAAGACGAATTGGTAACAAAAGAAACAAAGAGTAATCGCACTTGGCTCGCATTTCAAACACCTTACACATTGTCTATCTTAATTTGACTAAAAAAATTATTTGTTGAGTCGTCTTCTTCTTCTTCTTTTCTTCTGTGTATATTGAGCTCTGAGCTATTTTTTCATAAGCACAATTTACTAATTGAATTTATTTTATTTGTTTCTATTAAAAATCTTTTTCAAAAAGACCTCGCTTTCAAAAACATTAATAAACTGATTTAAGTGAAATATATAAGTCCGTATCTGATAGGCCCAGCCAATTTTAGTGTTTGAATTTTTAGGCCCAGCTAAATTCTAGAGGGCTTAGTCTTTTGTTGTGGCATAACAAGGCCTCACAGTGGTTGTTATTGGCATAATTAAACTTTGGTTTTTATATAAAATTCTATTTTGTAACATGGTATTTTTTTTTGTTTTTTTGTAACACGGTTTTGTTTCGCTTATGTTTTTAACATGGTTTTTCTTCAGATTTTTTTTTTTCCTTTTTATTAGTTCCAACTAGTATATATAATAAATTTTCCCTGTTTTGATTTCGTTTTTGTTGTTGTTGTGGGTAGTGGTCCTAGTGGAGAAGAAGAGAGAGCAAAAAGGTTTCATAACTAGTAATCTAGTATATATAAGATCATCTTTATTGGTAACATTTTAAAGAGTATCTTGTGCAAGATGTTTTCTCAAATGTATTTTATCTTAAAAAGTATTTTAAGATGTTACCAATAAAGATACCCTAACAACGGATTATGTATTGCCATAACTATATATATATATATATATAAATTCAAGGATAAGTCATTCAATAAAGCAAACCTAACTAACAAAAGTAAAAACAAACTATATATCCAAGTTATCGTTGCATCTTATTATTGGAAGATCTCTACCCATGGAGTCAAGATCTAGAAAGGAAAAAGAAGAAGTGAGTAAAAGTACTCTCGGATCTAAGAATGAAGAAGCTGAGTCGTTGACAGTACAACAGAAGACAACAAAACAAAGTCTTGTTTTGACTAAATCAACATTGGGCCAAAGAAAACCTATTAAGCAAATATACAGAATCAAGCCCAGTAATGAATCCAGCAACCAAAGTCCAGAAGAACAGTGTCTTCTTCCCCAACGGATCTCTGCAACAAAAGCAAGTGAAGACAAACATCAGAAAGTTGTGCAAAAGCAAAAGCAACACAGCTGTCAAATTATATTGAATAACAAATTTGGAGTTTTGGAGAACACTCTAGAAGGCTTAGCCTAAACCTAAAGACTCTAGTATAAATAAGAACCATTGTAATAGAGTTGGTTTTTATGAGAGTGTAATGGAATAAAGTTATGAAACTTAGCTTGCAATATCATTGAGCAGCTATTCTTTCACTTATATTGTTTATAAATAATTTATTGTAGTTTAATTTTATCTGTCCTCTATAAAAGACCATATAGTATTATGGGACCTCTGGTACTGTTACTAATCGGACCTATATTCAGTAGAAAAAAATAAATACAAATATACTATATGACTTTATTCAACACTATTTATTTCGTCCATTTATTAATACATATTTTGTGCTTTAGTATGGTTAGAGATTATAATCGCTAATAGATACCATTCCATATGCGATATGCCTTTTAACAAAAAAAAAAAAAAAAAAAAAAAAGATACCATTCCACAATTACAAGTCTTCGTGACCAGGATCGGAAAACAAACGTAGTTTTTATAGCTCTTGCCAAAATTGACATCTGAAAATCCGAATCTCACTGTTACACACTGTTAGTTTTAAACCAGTGTATTTTTGTTTAGTCATATAGTTTCGTTGAAAAGGACTAGAATTTTACAGAGTATAACTTATATGAATCCCATGCACTTCGCTTACGTAACGAAGCATTCATCACCACCTCTCGTTTTCACGATCCCATCAAATGCACTCCAAGCTAAATTATTTCGTTATTTATAAAAAAAATTAATAAATAAAGACTAATTTGATATCTCGTATATTTTGAGATAAGCTATATATTAAATTAATATTCATTGTATATACCAAATATATATATTACATAATAGCTGGGGGAAACAAAAACAGAAAAAATATTACACAATATCATATTGTTTAGGGGAATTATTCTCATAAATACCACTAAAACAGATATTTTTTTTTCCAAAAATATCATTATCACCTCCATTGGAAAGTTCTCACCATTTAAACAATAATATAATGAAAAAGAAAGAGAGAGAGAGAGTATAGAAGAGTTATCACTAAAATAATAATATATCTTTTGTTTGGGATATTCTTAGAGATCTCTTTAATAATAATATCTATTATTTAGTAATGACACCAACCTTCATGCTCTTAACCTCTACTTAGAAAGTTGAGACCACCATTAGATATCTTCTGAAAATTAGCATCTATTATACTCTCTAAATATAAACATTTAAACTTCTGACCCTAAATTAGAAGACAACTCCTTAGGCTGCTCCGACTATGTTAAATTTAAGCCTACATAAACACATAGATGAAAATTAGCATCTATTATTAGCTTATTTATATATAATATAATCAAGAACAAATAAACATAATAAAAGAGAGAGATTATACCGAGCATCTAAACAGATAACAATCTGGAATTGTTTTACTTTTTATCTTATCTTTGATATGTTGTAGTAAATCAAGTTTTTTTCTATAGTTTTGGAGTAAAAGAGATTCCAGAGTTTTTTGTTAAATTGCAATCCGAAAACAATATTCCGGTTCACTAAAGAATTCACGTGTTTTGACTCACAACAACAACAAAATTATCCATTTTCTGATTATTTTTGTTAACTAATTTGAGTGGTGTTTTATGCAATAATAATTAATTTCAATTTTATTTAATTAAAAATTGTTTTCTTTTTAATAGTATCAATAGTATATACAGAGGATGTTATGATAAGTTGATTTCAAAAAATATTTAGTATAATTTAATAATTTAAGATGATGTTTTGATGGAAGATTTTACGTGTTTCATGCGTATGTTATTCATGTTGATTTCTGATATAAAATTCACAACAAGAAAAATCGAATAAAACCATAAAAATGTCTGTTGTGGATAAATATGCTAGGCTAGCTAGTTTCTTGAAGCCCAAGTTTTGGAGAATATACATAGGTGCTGAATGAATCTAATTTTCTTTTAAATATTATAAAGCCGATGATTATGTGTATATGAGCTAAATTTTATAGGAGAATAATTGTTGAATGAATCAATTTGCGTTAAAAACTAAAAAGAAAAAGACAAAATAGTAGGAGAAGCGAAAGCTAAAATTTTTTTTAAAAAGTAGAAGTGTAGCTACATTCGTGTTCTAGCCTTCTAGGTAACAGTTGCCGAAAAAATAGGGATACATGTTTGTTTTAGTTGCCGAATTATATTCTATTTTTCAAAAAAAAAAAAAGAAAAAAAAAAAGGGATAAATACGAACCGTTATGTGATTTAGATTTTTAGTAATTTACGTTTGTATAAGAGGATCGTAGGTACGTAAACACATGTGATGAAAAATAAAAAAAAGAAGGGGATGATGATGATGATGGTACTGACCACGGCCTTACCGGAGATCTCTGAGGATTTGTTGATCGAGATTCTAATCAAATTGCCGGCGAAGTCTCTGATGAGATTGAAGCGCGTCTCAAAGATCTGGCTCTCACTTATCTCATGTCGTTACTTGGCCAACCGGTTCCTTAAACCCTTTCCACGACAACGTTTTCTCGCGTATTTTAGGAGTAGCGAGAGACACGCGTTGTTCAGGTCATCGGATCATGATCACTCGGACACATTGGTCTCTGTAATCGAAAAGTATATGGACATCGGGACAATAGGGGGAGGCCGCTTGGTGGGATCTGTTCGTGGCTTGTTGTGTTTCAGAAGTGGGAGAAGAGTGCGGGTTTCTAACCCCATGACAAGGCAGGTCGTGGAATTGCCCGTCATGGAAGCAGGGGATGCTAGTAATGAAAATCTCTTGTTCTTTTTTGGACACGATCCTGTAAATGATGAATACAAAGTGCTTTGCACGGTTTGGGAGGTGAACAATGAAGAAGAAAAATTAGTGATCAGATCCGAGCATCAGGTGTTGGTTCTTGGAGCTGGAGCCTCATGGAAAAAGGCTGAATGCCATATTACTCATCGACCTTATCGTTCTTGCTGGCTTGGGGTGATCACCATTAACGGAGTTTTGTATTATACAGCTTGGAATGATGCAAATGAATGTGTCGTTATGAGTTTTAACTTTAGTTCTCAAGAGTTTAGTTTGATTGAATTACCCGTTGATGCTTTCATCGTTTGGATGAACTTAACTTCCAGAGGTATCATGAACTACAAAGGAAAAGTGTCTATCTTTCGAGCTTTGGATTTCTTAAGTGATGGTGTTTTGGATGTTTGGGTTCTTGAAGATGCCGGCAAGAGTCAATGGTCGGACAGAAAGACTTTTGTTTTGCCTGATTTTCAGAGGATGAACACCATCAATGGAGATCTTTTAAAGATGAGAGGCAGTAATCGCAGTGGTGAGCTTTGGTTGTCAAAGACGAATCCTTCCTTCAGGAAGGTTCGACCCTCAACCAAATTCATTTATGATGTAGAGAGGAATAAGATAGCTCAAAGGATTGTTACAATACCACTAGAGGATGATGACTTCGCCTTCCCGAGAACTGGTTGGGGTGTGAGTGTGATAGTTTTTTCCCATGATATTGAGAGCATTATGTATTTGGAAACTTGATTCTAAGTAAATTGTTTTAACAAACGAAATTATAATATCATCAAGTTGAATTTGAATACAATGTCGCTTCATCCTTGGAAGAGCACTCATCAATTTCGTCTCCATTTACGTACGTTTTCCATGATCTCTTGATATTTTTTCACAAGGAGCTTGTATGTGTATATCACCCTATGTAGAAAGATCTAGATTTTGACAATGTAAGGCTGCATAGTTTTTTTTTACCTTCACCGCCATGCAGCCACCATCGAGCATGCATGAAAGTCAATCACGGTTATTGATGCTAAATGTTGATGGATCAGGCCCATTAACCTTGAACCGCCGGCATCTAAATAATACATTCTTTGTATGATTACGAAATTTTATAATCAAATATTTTGGACTCAGATTCTTCTTTTTGCATGTTCTATGGCCACCAAAACCTTTTTCTCGGTAACATCCTTTTACGAAAATAGTCGACGCTGTTGAAAATTTCTGTACCCGAATTATTCTTCAGTCATACGAAATCAGTTTATTTGTCTCTTTAATCCGAATACGATAAGTCATAAGAGATAGTTTCCGGCTACTTTCGCATCTATGTAAATTGAACAACAACTAAAGCAATGTTCCTTTAAAAAAGCACTCACTTACGCATTAAGCAACTACACGCACTCGCATATATACGATTATACTCTCCTTTAAGTTTTCTCTTTTATCAAAATTTGGTTGAGACATATTTTTTCAAGAGTAACCATTTCGTACCGCAAATATTACATATACTGATATACACTACCATTTATCTCAAAAACATGTATATATTATAGTTCATGCTTTTGTGTTTTTTTTGGTAGACGACGGTGGGAAATTAAAATCGCTAAATGAATAATTCTACAACTAAAGAAAAATTTAATGACGATATGGAAGACCAAATTAAATTTTATCATTTTAATTCACAAAGGGCTCCACCTCACATGAAAAAATACGATCACTGAGTGTGGACCGACGAGTACTCCTTAACTAACCCTGTTCCTAATTTATCATTTTAATTTCCAGACTATAGTGTATTTTTATTTTTATTATTCAATTGTATATATATAAATAAAAGACTAGAAGCTTACAGAAAATGATAAATACACAACACACTATTTAATAAGTCTATAGGACTCCCATGCACTTAGCTTAGCTTACGTAACGAGAACGCATTCATCATCTCCTCTCATTTTCACGTCTCCTCTCTTCAACTTTTCAACTCTTTTAATCCTCTCTCAAACTCTACTCCATATATTACCAAACAAAACTCTCTTTCGTTAATTTCTCTCTTTTGATCATTTTATAAAGAAAACAACGTAACTCTCTCACCGATCACAACATGCCGGGAAACTCTCTTCGCCGGGGATCCGTCGTCGTATTCACGGCGATGATCATGATCTCGTTGCTGACGTGTCCAACACTCATCACCGCTTCATCATCATCAGAAAGAAAGCTAGACGAGGTCGATCCTATTAAGTGTTCTCCAAGCTGTATCCAAAACCCTCCTCCGCCGTCTCCTCCACCACCGTCTCCGCCGCCTCCAGCATGTCCTCCACCGCCGGCTCTACCACCTCCTCCGCCGAAGAAAGTCAGTCCCAACTGCCCGCCTCCGCCGCCGACTAATTTCTTGTACATCACGGGTCCGCCGGGAAATCTTTACCCCGTTGATGAGCAGTTCGGAGCGGCTGCCGGAAAAAGCTTTACGGTGGTGAAGCTCTCCGGCTTGATCGCGTTTGGGATTATGGGGTTCTTGATTCTTTGAAATTAACATGATCGGTCGGAGAAGAAAATATTTGAAGATCTGCGGTAATTTGGTATATGTTGTCAGATACTTTTTTTTTTTAATTAGTTGTTTAAAGAAACGTTATTGATCGATGATTAATAATTTTTAATTGCTAGGATTACATATGTTTTCATCATATTTTTCCTATATCAAAAATTTTCAAATGGTTTTAAAAAAAAACCAAATTAATAAGGTACGTGGATCAAAATGTTGTTCAGGGAAAATATGTAAATCCTAGAATTTTATTCTCTCTTATGTGATATATTCTCTCTGTTCAACTTGTGGCACTGAATTGATTCACGAATTTGGAAAGTTTTCTTTATGCGGAATATTTTTTTTTATAGAAAAGCATATTGTTCTTGATAAATGTAAAGATAGTTTTTTCTCAAAAGAAGGAGAGGAAATAAAAAGTTAAAAAGGCAAATTTTCGAAAATATTTTGTCCGTTTTAGCTTTCTTCTTTACGCTTCTGAGTAATTGTGTTACCAATATGTTTTAACTAGAGTAAAGTAATTTGATGATGAAGAGAAGTTAATAAAGTAGAGGAGTTTGGTAATTTGATAAACTATTATAATCACTAGTTATAGAGATGTATAATCTGAACAAATTAATCCAATCCGATCCAAACTAATATAAATCCTTAATCCAATCCGCATGATAATATGGTTAAATGTACATATGCTCATCTAAAAAACTGAAATTTAATTCGAACCAAATGAAAAAGAAAATATGTAAAGACTTTGTGTAGTAGACCAAGAGAGTAGTAATTAACCGCCTAGCTAGTGAGATTAGCGTTAAGGACCACGTAGAAATATGAAATTATACCATCTAGTTCTTTTATTTTATTTGTGAATAGTGTTTTTTTTTTCCTTGGTAAAGAATAATAATTTGAGGTGGGAAAAGTCAGCAGCCAATATGAAAAGTAAAAAAAAAAGACACGTGTGGGATGGATGCAAAATTGCAGAATGAAGATCAACTTGGGTTTCAACAATGATAGGTGCCTCTACTCTCATAGCCGACCTTTAGACAATAGACATGACATGTGAATCTGTTTCGCCTAACGCTTCTTTATATGTTTCTTTTCTACCCAATCTCACCTACGTTGTTACTTCTTCTTTCTTTTTATTTCTGTTCTTCAACGCTAGCTTTAACTATATATACATATTACATACCTGATTAAAACCTAAAATATATATATATATATATATATATATATATATATATATATATATATTTTGGCGAGTAAATTATATAATTGTCTTTGTTTTAGCTTCCAACGTATAGTTAGTATTATTTTTCAGAAAACATTTCTGTATATTCAGTTATTGTTTTTATCTTTGTGTATTTTTGAATCGTCTACTATATATGCGATATGTAATAATCTTGCTTTTGAAACCAAAATGAAAGCAAGATTAACATTTTTTTTATGAAATGGAATCAACGAAAGGAGTTATAGCTCTCTTTTTTTTTCTTTTTTTTTTTCCTTATAGGTTGTAATTTGTTATAAGGTATGAAATAATTGTGCACCACACAGAATACTTTTATATATTGCCTCAAAAAGGCAACACAACACAAGCTCCTTTATAATTTTATGCAGCCTCACTTAGTTATATTATACACACAGGTAAATGTATATTCTTTATAAAAAACAATGGTTCTAGTGTTACTTAAACGTTCTGATTGTCATTATCACTGATGACTTAGTATTTTCGTCAAGAGCAAAGTCATGAGTTGGTAATATAACTACCGCACCGTCTTTACATGTTTCCATTTTGCTCATTTCGGTTAAATTATTTTCAATATATGGTACTCTTTCCCTTTCTCATAAAAATATCATTCAAGATTAATACATAGAATATCATTTAAAATGACATATATTGTTTTTATAATTGTCATTTTAGGACTTTTAAGCTTTCTAAGAAATGACTTTAGACTTTCATTAATTTTCAGTTACAAAGGTTACTTTCTAGATGATATCTAATAAAACCTCGGAAAAAATGAAATAGCTATGATGTACCCCTTTAATACCTTCAATCCTTCATTATCACTCAAAGTCTATCCCTTTACAGATATGCTCACAAACGATCTCCTCAAATTTATAATCACACAAGTACCATTTTCTTATAATTTAAGATTACAAAAAAATAAAAATTTAATTCTTTTTAATGAGATTTTTTTTTTACTTGAAGCATCAATAAGGCTTCTGGAAACAGATGCTAGCTAGAATGTATCCATCTTTATGTGGGAAGCTTAAAATATTATACAAATATATCTACCGACCACTTTAATCATCTATGACGCATTAGTTTCTTTAGAGGACATAATTAGCTAATTTTAGTGGTTTGATGTGTAGAATATTCATCTAAATTTGTCGTTTAACAAAATGGCTTTTGTTTTGGTGTTTTTTTTGTAAAAATGATTGCAGTATAAAGTATATCTCTCTTATTTAATTGTAAAACATGCATGTTCGTCAAAACTCAATATTATAAATACACGAATGATTAACTGAAACGTATGTACAGTGTACATAGACAGATATATGCTTACGAAAGTCTACACTAGTTCAATGTTTAATCCACAATTAACAACCGATGATTAAGACGGACGAATCAACATCGTAAAATTAGCGACAATTTAACACCAATAGTTAATGTGATTAAGGACATTAACCCCAATAATAACTCACAAGACAAGTGTCTTCTAGCTAGAGTCCACACCTTCCAACTAAGCTTTTTCCAAAAAACAAACTTTCTTGCGCTTATCTTACCAAAACAAAAAAAAAGAACGTTTTAACATTCAGATAAAAAAAACAAAAGAACCATTCTTTCATCAAGAAAGATTAAAACATGAAAACAAACGATCATGGCCTTCCCTTCTTGTGCTTATTCGTCATCTTTTCTCTTCTTTGGTTCCCTTACTTAGCCATATCCGAGACACCGTGTCCATACCCTTGTTATCCAACGCCACCTATTGGTGGCGGTGGCTCCTCCACACCCTCCTTGTCTCAACCACAACCATACCCTCCTCCAGCTGGGAATTTACCAAACTATCCTCCACCAGCTGGGAATATACCAAACTACCCTTCTCCACCGTACGGTGGCGGTGACGGTAGTGGCGGCAGTCTTTATGGTCCCCCACCGCCGGACGCTATCTTGCCGTACTTTCCTTACTACTTCAGGAAACCTCCTCACCAAACGGATCAAACATCGTCTTCTTCACTCTTGGCGGTTCCAGGAAAATTGACGGTGATGATCATAGCGGCCGTGGCAACTCTTGAGTTGGTTGGAGTGCTCGGTAACATTTTGTTTACAACTAAGTTAGTTTAGTTTAGTAACTCTTGTGAGTCTTTTTCGTATGTTGTGTAAGAAAATATTGTAACATGTTACACTTTGAAATATTTAGGAGGCTAATAACATTATCCGTTGTATTTCTTTTATTATTACTCTAATTTTTTTATATGCGGTGAGATAAATATGCATTTTTAAAAATTACATCATATAATTATTTGTCGCGATCCTTGGATTAGGATAAGCACGAACAATGTCAAGAACGTCACTTTACGTGGGTGACTTCATAGATAGTGGACAGCAATATAGAGGTTAACAAATGGACAAAAAGATTTGTAATAGTATTAGATTCTCTCTTTTATTGTGTGGAAAACTCTCAATATAAGCAGAAATTGAAAAGGATACATAGGGTGGGTCGAATTATATTGCATTTGAAAATCAAAATTAAATTTAATGTTACAAGAAAAACAGAGGTCGTATTGTTTCAAGTCGTATTACCTTTTTTTCTTTGTCGGCACAAGTCGTATTACCAAAGTTAGTAATGTTTGTATGTAAAGTTATCTTTAACTAGTGATATAGCAATAGGTCATGTACGTTAGTAATAAGCTTTGAAAATTTATTAGTGGAATGATAATTCTAACATAAGGTACATGGTTGATCATTGTATTTGCGGTTCTATGTTATAATGATTTCTATAACATATAAACACAAATACACACAAACACAAACGCAAAGAAACAATTGAGGGCATAGTACTAATTACACAATCTACAGAACAAAAGCAGAGACGGTGGATTGCTCAAAAAGCAACCTCAAACCGCAGAACGCCTAATCGCTAAACTCCTTCTGTTCGTGTTGCTTCTGGCGCTCTGGTCGCTGCTGGTGGTCTTTGGTCTTTGAATCCTATGTGTATCCACCTTCTGTTTGTTAATATTAAGCTTACTCTTGGCAATTCCATTAACCAGTGACCTATCACAACTAGCTGTAGATGAGTGATCATCTCTTGCTTTTGCCTTTGGCTGACCAGTTGACGTGTGTTGAGGTTTAGCATGTGTGCTTTTAGGCACTGGTCTTGCTTTGAAGTTGAGATCCTTAGGCACTACGGCTATTACCTTTTCCTACAGCATCAGACAATGTTCCATCATAAGTTAAAAAATCTAAACTGTGAAAATTGGAACAGAGTAAAAAACAGAGAATATTTAAGTTATCTCTGTCTACCTCTTTTCTCTTCTCAGCTCGTTCGTTACTTCTGAAACTGAAACCATTAGTAGTTGTTTTCTTTTCTCTAGTAGCCATCAAAGGAGTCAGACTCTCAGTTTTCTTTGATGTTCTTGGAGCTTGAGATGCAATGGTTTTAACAATCCTCTTAGGCTTCAATTCCTTTTGTCTGCCATTCAAAACCCAAATAGACCCTTTTAGAGTGAGTGGTGAAACACATAGACATAATAGTTACTTTGACTATGAGGTTATAAAGCTACCTCTTAGTGTCAATACTGGTTTTAGTATTACAACTTGGAGAAGATCCCTTTGCTATGACAACATGCTTCTTCGTCGAAGAAGCTTTGGTTGCGGAACAAGGAACAGTTTTATGAACATTTTTCAAAGGCTTCAATCTAGTTTCAGAGGAAGATGATGTTTTCTCTTTTTCATCCTCGCTGCGACCAACCTCAGTTTTCTCCAAAGCAACAGAAAGAGAAGTATGATCATCACCATCAGAGTTCACAAGAATCTCATCATAGCTCACACAAGAATCACCAAACTGACTCGTGTTCTCCCACATATTATCATCTTTCTCAGCACAAGTTTGGTGAGGAACAGCTTCTCCTCCCCATGTATAAGACTCAACAGAAGTAGGAAACAGGATCCCTTTCTTCTTGAAATGCGCCTCGAAATGAGCTCTCATCTGAGTAACAGAGCCAGGTTTAGAGAATCTCTCTGCCTCTTCAAGATATCTATTGTGAGAAAACGATGATCTCCTCTCCCATGATAAAGATTCCTTCTCGAATCTTCCAAATGATACTGATCCTGAGTGGATAGAGTTCTCCTGTAGAGAGAGCCCATTCACAAACAAATTAAAGTTTCTATATGATATATATAAAACATTATCAGCTTTTCATAATATATTTATACAGGTTGAAAATTATAAATAGGACTTCAGCTACGACGAACCAAACATACAAGCCAGTATCTTAAGCAGAATCAATGGCTCCATGAAATCGAAAGCATGTCTAGGAAAGCTTTTTTGATTGAGTTGAACATACATAATCTGAAAATGAGAACAAGAATAAAGTAGCAAAACTTACCAAAAGGCTTAGGTTAAACGGCTCTTGAACCTCTCCCGCCATCATATAATCTAGTAAGTTTTCGAGGAGGCGAGGGATTTAAAAATACCTAAGAGGCTAAAAGATTTTGTATTTTGGAACACAGAGTAGTATACGAAATTTTGATGAAGTTATAACTTTAGAGCACGAATTAGTGAGGAACTTGGACAAAGGGATTAGTATGTAAATAAAAACGTCAGAATTCAGATTTGGAAAAGAAAGCTGACTAATCAAATAATCATGTTCATGTCTTACTCACATGCACTTTTCTCTTTTCTTCTTGCATTTGTTTTGTCTTTTTCTTGAACGGACGCTTCTCACGTTCTCCATTTATCACGGCCGTTTAGTTCGGATGGGCATGATCGACGGTTGAGAGTTTCTAATGTGATTACGATTATTATTAACCGTTCGATCTTTGTATGATCATTGATCGTATATATTGATAGTGTTAACGTGTGTACCTCCTCCACGTGGGTTTACAAGGCTCGTTCGACATGTTCGAGTGTTGCCAAATCCAAAACAGACCATTATTAGTTTCTAACAACATTACATTATTAATGTCAATTTGAATTTGGGTGACATGATAATATTAGCAATACAATTATATGTGTCGGTCATATATATACACGAGTTTGATATATTGGTAGAATTAGTACTAATTAATTCTACATGAATTTAAAGATTACTACACATATATTTCTACAATTTTTTATTTTCTTATATAAAACCATTTAGGATTAGGTCGTATACGAAATACCATGGAGTGTGAACAAGTAAACATCATAATTGAGACCTTACATCCCAAGCATGTGAGCACATTAATAAGAAATGTCGTTTTTGGTAAGAGACCATAGCATGGCAATTGCATGTGACTTTTCCCGCGGTTGCAGGAATAAGTCGTAAGTCATATACCACATTTAGCTCATTTGCATATGATTCTCATGACTCTTAATCACTTCTCTTTTGTGGAAGTCCAATGAAATTTAATATACCAAATATGAAATCTGATTTACAAAAACTACAAAACCTTCGTTGGCACTTAGCGCGGTGGCTCGTAGCCATTGAGCTCGTTTGGAGTAGTGGGAAGCCTTTTCTTGATCCTTCTCCATGTCTAGGTTCGAGCGGTTTTAAGGAAAGCACCAGTGTAAGTCGTCAGCTAGTGTAGGTGGGAGTGGGTGGAAGTTAGTGAGATTAGTTGTAATTTGTAAATTACTATCTTTTATAAAAGATACAAATCTTAATAAGGGAACTATGAAACAAAACTACCAAATATAGAAAATCTAAACAATCACTTTTTTGGCGGAACAGAAGTCTCAACTGTCACTTCTTCAGTCACTTCTGTTTCTTCTTTACCGTCCGAATCCAAAAGCTTCTGATGAATCGTATCTTGGATCTTTGTTACACCCTTCTCCACCGGTCCCATTGCTTGGTTTATTGTAAGAACCACATCTTTCACAACGTGCTGGCCACCATCAATAACTATGTCCTGTACACTCTCCTTGATGCTTGTGCCAGATGCTTCAACATGAGTTTCTGTCGTCTCGACAAGACCACCTTCTTCTAGTTTCACTTCCGTCTTGCTCGTTTCGGATGTTATTTTACCACACTCTGATATAGGAATGTAGTGGTAAGGTTCAGCTGGGAAAACAAAGAGATGAGCCACCGCTGCAATCGCCATCTACCAATGTATAGTACACCAGCAAGTAGAATATTCAGAATCATAATTTTAAAGGCGCTCATATAACATACGTAAATTGTGGCCTAGGAGCTTTTGGTTACCTCAATGCAAATGAGAAAATCTTGCAACCCGTTCTGGAATCTTCCTTCTTTTGGGAGTATACCATAATAACAAAGCAACGCTATCCCAAAGCCTTGCCACCAAGTGGCAAACACAATAGCCTTAAAGCTAATGAACTTAGCCAACGGTTTTATTTCTTTGAGACGTTCATGAGTTACATTATAGAACTGCACCAAGCAAAACAGAGCCCACATCTGGCTGAAGTTTAGCACCACCACTATGTATGGATATCTACAAAATCAAAGATACATCACTAGTCTTTCTATCTAATGAAAAATTATTATGATACTATAGTTCCATACCCGTAATACCATTTGAATTCACCATCACCATAGACACCAAGAAGCTCCAACAAAAATGTCAAGAAGGCACAAAAGGTTTTGAGGATCATCTGAGACAAAATATCACAAAAACCTTCAAATGAAAACATGCAAAATTGGGTTGTAGGAAGAGGCCAATTCACATGACTTACATACTGGACGAGACCAAACTTCTCTATCACAAAGAGCTCTCGTCCCAAGACATATGGATCACTCAAGAATTTCCAAAATGAATTCTTCTTCTTTTTGCTCTCATTGTCTCCTCTTTCTAACAATGGTTTCTTTGATTCATTTTCTAGGAATTCAACAACTCTTCTTTCACCACCTGAGAGCATTCATAATCATATTACATCTTGGTTTACAGATTCAAATCAATTACTAACGTGAGAGACAGACAGAGTGCACATAACAGCTCACCTAGACATGCGACCAAGTAGCTTCCAAAGGAATACAAAGCAAAAGCCTCATAGCAGTTTCTCAGAATGTCACAAGGCAACGAGAATTTCGAATTGGACAAGGAAATGATCTAAAACCAAAACCAGGTTAGTTAAAAACACAACAAGACATTCACAAACTCCTAGATAAAGAAAGAAGAGGCTTACAGATTCAGCTGCATACACAGGAACCATAAACAAAACAGAAACAATCCATTTTTGCTCCTACAAATTATACTCAAAACTCATCAACGACCTATACGAATAAGAAAACAGAGAGTGTACAGATTTTGGTTATGTTCGTACAGCGGGATTGGTGTAGAAACGGAGATGTTGGAGGATAGAGAAAACGGAGACACAAATGGCAACGGCGGCGAAGGATCCTCCGATGATCAAAGACGGAAAATGTAAATCTCTATACGTACTTGCCTCCGTTACTCTCATTCTATCAGAATCATACACCCATTCTGATATACATCAGACAACATATTATCATTCTGTTTCTGTTCTGTTTTTGGCCTTCACCTTAACTTTGTCTTAAGGTTGTAACGTACACGTGGCGTACGCTCGTAGATGCCACAGTTGCGTTCTTTGACACGTATTTCTAGCCGTATAACGTAATGGAGTGTAAAAAAAGAGACAAAACTGGTAGAGCAAATGAAATAACTTTGAGAAAATATTCGTGGGCCGAAAGGTAAGTAGACCCAGTGAATTAGAGAGCATGCAGAATAGGTCATGTTTACTATATATGGAGTAATATTGGAAGGAAAAAAAAAAAGTAAATTAGGAAACTGAAAAAAAAAGATTTTGAATTAGTAAAAGAGAAATAGAACCGAAACCAAATTACCACCAAATCATATTCTTGCTTCATAATTTGGATTTTTCGAAGGCCTACGTGTCTACGAAAGTGTGGGGAAAAAGAAAAGTTGTCTATGAAAGAATAGATATGTTGTAGATATTCTTTAACTTGGTTGATGGAACCTTAATGGATTTGTTAGAAGGCCCAAACTTAGTAACATATCGTCACGTCGTGGAAATTATGCTTTGAGCTATAAACCTTTTACATTTATCGTGATATATGTTTAAAGCCTCTAAGGCAAATCACAATTTGTTACAGATGTAATATAAATTACATTTAATCATGTATATGATGAAGGAAATGTTACAAGAACAAAGAGGAAAATCAGACAAGTTCTCTGTTAAATTATTAGATCGGAAACAGATTGTTGTGACAAAACAACATTTACACTTTTGAGAGAGAAATGTGGACATCAACTGTATTCTGGGAACTTTTGTGTGGACACATTCCCATGTGAAAGAAACATCGACATACATCTACAATGTTTTTGGTAATATTGTATTCATGTTTTGATTTGTTTGTTTTCCACAAAGAATATATAAAGATGAAGGGCTTTTAAGTTTTTTAACCAAGTGAAGAAGAATAGCGTTGGCATGGGAAGAAAGATTGTGTGAAAGTCCCATGAATCAACAGTTAGCTTGTCGGACATTTCGAACCGGTGGTCCGTGGTTTCGCCGACACCCATCACCTGTCATTTCTCTCTTTATTTTTTGCCTTATGAGAAAACATATTATATCTTCTCCTTTTGCTAATTAGAAAGCATAAAATGATATATATTAGAATAGCAATAATTACTTTTGGTGGTGTACCACGAGAGAATGCAGCCACGCACACGAGGACACCACCATTCCCTATTATCAATCCTAATCATTTTTATTTCATTGATTTATCAAAGTTAACTCCTCCACTTATACTACTTATTGAGATCTATTGTTCTACCAGCTTTATCTACTATATATATCTTAATCTTGTTGGAACTCATGTGTGCAAGAATCCCTAATTTCTGTTCAGACAAAACTCAAACACAATATCTCAAAAAGGAAAACAAAAAGTTTCAAAAGGAGAAAGATTATAAGAATATTTAAAACCCCAAATTCTAATGATAAGAAATACAAATATTCCAAATTTAATTATGGTTGTAGATAACTTGGTAGTTGTTTGTTCACAGAAATATATATAATTTGTTTTCTTCCTATTTAGGTCTTGAAATTGAATGGCATCTGATTTTATATCAGTTTTTGGCTTTTGATTATGCAAAATATATTTTATTAGCCATTCATGATTCTTAAAAATATAGATTTTCTTAAAATTAGGAAATCCAAATTTTAGAAGTTTTTGCTAATTTCTTCTTAAAATCCAAAACCCACATATTGTAGTTTTTAATTTGTTTTAATGTGAATTAACATTTTTCTTCCATTTTTTATTTTAAAAAAATATTTTAATTACAAAATCTGTAGATCATAAACCATAATCTAAAATCTAAAAACCAAAAACCATAATCCAAAAACCATTAACTTTTTTTTTGAAACATTCATTGCCTAACAATGTATAGATGAAATGCACGTTATAGTATAAGGATACAAGTCAGAGGAGTATTTGTTAAAACATTACAGACGAAATGGATTAGTTCTTCAAAACAATGGCAACCCTGCTTTCTTCTTTTGGGTCCATTTTTTTGTTACTACTCGATTTCAAATGCATGCACACGATCCATCCCTCAATTATTCGTGTTACACTTAACTATCAAGGAGGAGCTGTGTATAGTCCGTGCTGTCCACGGTCCACCCCATGAGACTCGTTGGCTGTCGCAGCGTGGAGAGAAGGCTTAGGGGGAGTGTATGCATGGCCCGATATCGATGTGATGGTTAAGTCAATTTTACAGTGAATCTTTTTTGAAGTCTAAATAAAAATTTTGATATAAGAACATGAAATGATATACAAATGTGTATATGAATTGGGTAAAGTCCAATGAAGAGGGGAAGACACAATTCACAAAGAGACAAGGAGACGAAGGTCTATAGCTATAGAGAGCACATGAGATGAGGGAGTGGGCCGAAAGAATAATAGAGGCAATAGACAGAAAAAAAAAAAAGGAAGAAGAAGAAAAAGCTAACAAACTAACAAGCAAGAAGCCGACATTTTTAGACATTGGCTCTTTCTTGTTACTCATATAAGTACACTGGCTACTCACTCACTCTTCAACATATATCATCATATGGATATGCTTGTTGCTTTGCGGAACAAGATAATCGTGGAAAGAATATAACATATTTATTAAAATATATAGAAAAATTAATTGAGATAAAAATTTACTCATTAATTTTATGGAACGAGGGATTGATGATATAAAAATTATTATGTAAATTTGTACCTGTTGAATCAAATTAAAAATTAGTTCATTAGTAAGAACTTAGAACTATATATATATATATATAATTATTAAGCCATTCTCCTTCCATAACCGATAAAGATTTATGATTTGGTAAGAGTTTCGAGAATAACAATAGACAAATATCTTCATACGTGGGATTTGAAATTGATTGTGCACGTACGGAGTTCATTACAGCTTTTGAGCGATGCATGTTGGTCTTAAAGATGACCTAATAAATACGCTAATGTTGATGATTAACCAAATTAGTTACCTTTCCAATGGCTTGTTAAATCCGTGATTGAAGATTATTTGTTGGAAGACTTTTTTTTTTAGATTTTCTAGAAGGAATAACTGTATAAATAAGAGTTTGGGTATATATGTTCCCTTCCACTTCAACATCTAATTTAATGGATCTTTAAATTGGTCACACATTTACGGAATCCAACGATTGTTTCACCCACCAATATATAAACTTAGGATTGTACCACAATACACACTTCCCTACCATAATACACATTACTAATTGGATTAAATACGAAAACCAAAATACAGTTAATGTTGGTGTTCGTTCCACGCCATAACTAGCTGAACACAGACACATGGATTCACCTCTTGTTCGATTACAACTTGAAAGAGATAAAGAAAGCATTCTATAATATATTAGATTGGGGTTGGTCCATCGTTCACCGCATAATCAGGAGTAATAGTCGGAAACTCTAGTTAAAAGTAAGCTTAACATATTAATACGATCTCACGTCACCTAAAATTGGGTCACTTTCAATCGTTTTCCCATATATTTGAAGGCATACCTTGAAATAAGAATTTTTTTTTTCTTTTTTTTTTCTTTTTTAAAAGAGTTTGAAAACAATATAAAAAAGCTATAAGTATTACTTTTCTTCGATTTCTTTTTTGCTTTTGACTTTTTAGTAACTTTCTGCATGTTATTTACTAATTTTTGTTTCTATATTTTTTCCTAGCTATATGTAACTTGTATGGCATCACACAGCTTTACTAAAACGATGACACAAAGCGTCTTGAGTGCAAAAGCGCCTAACCCACTTCTTCCTACACCAATGAGACCAATGTCATTATGACAAACTAAAACCAATGCTCTAAATGGTACCTAGAGCTTTGTCAAGTGGTGTGCTTGTCTAAACATCCTGTAAAGTTCTACTATACACAATCCTTTTGAGAAAAAAACTTTATCAACTGGTAAAAAAGTAAAAGGATTAGTTTTAGACTTTAATTTTAGTAATAAAACAATTTCATTGGTTGAGATGTTTTGTGTGAAGAGCCGAATTGTAAGAAAAATAGTCATACACGTCATGAATACAACATTAACAATTTTATAAAACCGCCTGATCGCTACCTAAAAGGTCATGTTTCTTTTTTCTTAGGAACAAAATGAGATCATCTTTCTATTTACATATAGATTATGGTTGGTAAAACAGTCTTTACTTGTTTAAACAATGTATACGATGAGAAAGTAAAATATACAAAAAACACACTTTCCACAATGTCTATCTACCTAAATTTAAAAGCACTGAAATTAAAAGAAAATATTGCAAAATCACTCTCATATATGATAACAGGTTTTGTCCTTCTTATCCAAAAAGAAAGAAAATATAAAAATCGTTTTTGGATCCTCAAATCAAATCTTAGTCCTCTGTTTTGTCCGCTTTCTCTTGCGTTTATCCTCTTGTCCCTCTCATTGCCATCTCCTTTCTCAAATAATCTCTAGCATATATATAGACAAGAACAGTGTTTTTGGATCTTCAAATCAAATCTTGGTCCCTAGAAATTTTTACTAAACCTCTTGTGTTACATTACATTCTCTAATTGACTAGTTGCGTTCCACTAAACTTGGAATTATCTTGTTTCTCTTTATCCCCTTCAGCCAAGCAGAACTTCTCCATAACATATAGCTTATAGCCCGAGTAAAATGTAGTAAACAAGTGTGATCGGTAGTGCGATAAGCATTCCGAAAATTACCCTGTAATATCAAATAATACACATAAGACATAAGCAATATTAAATCTTATCTTATATTATGATAATTTTCACTCTTGAACCAATATAATGTATTTACCCTGTACTCAAGATTGCGGGATGAACGTTGTACTCCTTTGCAAATACGAATGGCACGATCCCTTGAGGCAGTGCAGCCTACAACGTTACCACAAGATTTGGTTAAGTTACTTCTTGAAAAGAATT